CTGGTAAAACTGTTCTAGAATGTGCTGAACGCGGGTATGTTACCATTCATTAAGCGAAAGTCGGTTTGTTTACCAATTTTAATTCTATGTTGGCTAAGATTATCGAGGCGGGAACAAACTACCGAACAGTGGCGTGAGACGGGTTGGGCCGCGTAAAATGAAGAATTGGGATGGAAGTGTTTGTAGGGGTGCAGACTTTGTCTGAAGTGATGATACCCGGGTAGGCAGACGCATGATTTGTCGTTACCTACGAGCACTAGCAAGCTTCTTCAATCGATTTTATCTTCAAATTAGCAGAGATAAAGGGGCCAAGTCATCCAAAATTTTCGATATTGCAACCACGACACATTGGTCAACTTAAATTAAAGCTGTCATTCAATTTAGACTCTTCACGACATATTGGTCAACTTAAATTAACATTGAAGTTGTTATCTTACTATGAAAAGTTGGGCTTCTGATATCCAATAATTAAGACAAAATGAAAATTTTAAAACTGGGACACGAATCACGTGCCAAAATTCTTTCGAGCGCCAGTTGTATGAAGCAACTCGATGAACGAGGCTAGACATATCTCGTGTGGGAGTACTATCGGTGTAGACTAGAATAACCAGACGCCAAAAGCTGTCATTCAATTCAGACTCTTCTCGTATTTCGTTGAACATAGCTGATTAGGAATTACAATTAAAAAAAAGTAACGATGATTGTAATTCAGTTTATATCATTCATATATTGCATTATTATATGCGTTGTGATCGGTCACTGTGACGGCGAATGGCGAACGCAAAAAAATTGGAATATTATGCGACTTGATGATTGTGATTCCTTTATTCTCCGCGTATATTGTATTCTGCTGTAAAAACTAGAACTACCGGAAAATTCACAACGAAACGAAGACGAAGAAATTACACGTGCTGTAACGCCGCACATCCTATGTTGTAAAGCTCGCGGTCGTTGCTTCAAGAACCAGCGAATTTGTTAAGACTAATGAACTAATTCAGGAATATACCAATTGACTTTAGAGGATTCTAATGGATTACAAAATTGTGACTGTTTTCTAAATTCAAATATTTTAAAGCATGGGCAAGAACATTATAGATATTAAAAATGTTTTTTGTCATTTCAGGTGGTGGGGAAGCTGTGTCAAGTATCAACCAACAAAACAATATGAGTGGAGGGATCCAAAACCCTTCAGTGATGCTAAATAAACAAATTTATCAATCCTACGTTAGAGAACTATTTTTATACATAATTTATTAATATTTTGTATATTTATTAATAAATTTTATTATAGCCTCTGATTTCATTTAAAATGAGTTCATAGCCGAGAGAGAGAGAGAGAGAGAGAGAGATGGGTTTTAACGTTCACTCGACACAGACTAGGTCATTCCGGGTCTAACATGGTTTTTAATTTTATTTCAATAATTCGCTTGTGCGAATGGCGAGATACCCCTACCCGAGGTAGAACAAAACACTTTGGATATTTTCTGATAGTCACATCACCAGATCTCTTGAAACTGGTTCTTGGGTAAATTTTCAACATGGCCCAATATATTTTTTTTTTTTGTGCACTTTTACCAGTGACCAGGGTTTCTTTAACGGTAATAGATTTGATGGGGGTAGGGATAAATTTTTGGTTATTGTTCTTTGGTGTTGAGAAAATTTCGAAATGATTTGCTATCATCTGAAAAGGTAATTGGTGACCAGTGCATTTTTTGGTCACTTGTTAATTAATACGTTAATTTGTTAATTAAACTTCGGAATCCTTATTTTAAAAACATAGATTTTGAGTTTGAGTAATCCATTGCAACGGATTAATATATTTATTATATTTAGACAGTAATAAAATATTTTGATTTTTTTCCATTTAAAGAGTCAACCAAGAAACTTAAAATCATAGTAAATTTGATATAATTCCCTTGCAGCACCAGGTATAACATTTACAGTGTCTGCATATGGAAAACCGTTAAATAAAGCGTCGACGAAGAGCGAGGCCTGACGCATAATATAAGGACTTGTTTTTCACGGAGAACGGCCTCGGTCGTGGGAAAGGGTTCGTTCCCGTCGGCGTGCTTCGTCTCGGCTGTAGTCAGACGAAGAGAGCGTCTCCCGAGGCGCTGCGTCTGTCTTCGGACTGACTGCTCTGGTCGGCGGTATAGGGCGAACATAGCTCCGGGCTGAGGAACGACCCCATTTTCGCTCCCCCTGGTGTCGTCGCGGCTGACTTGACTGCCCTTCGTGGGCTTAACAGTACAAATGCGGTAGCTAGGTCTTGAACAGTGGGCCGGCGGGAATTGAGGAACAGCTTAGAGGGTCGACGGCTGGCCTTGGCGGCTCTCGTCCCGATTTGTATTGAAACACCGACTAAGCAGTCTAGTGCGAGCGAGCATGAATCAGTCAGAAAACACGCCCTTTTCGCAAATTCCTTCTCAAATAAAACAGGTACTACTTATACCATTACCATTTTTTCGCCATCCATGATCAATTGGACATGGGATATTGGGTTTCGCCTCATGACGTGGCACCATACATATCTGGTGTGTAAGTGGAAGACGTCGTCTGTTCGAGGAAGAGTGGCTGCCAATGTGTCCATTGACGTATAGTATTCGTCAAGGGTACAGCAGACGCGTGGCTGCCAATGTGTCCATTGACGTATAGTATTCGTCAAGGGTACAACAGACGCGTGTTTTGTTCCCTGTTAAATTTATTACAGAGAACATTATACCATAAGTTAATTCAACGCTTGTGTTGTCACTGCCAGATAACGCATGCACAGCGGTTGAACATAGGCTGACTATTTCTCCAAGGCTTGTTGAACAGTTGTTGATATAGTTGGTGGTACAGTAGTAAGCCGACTGAACAATAACATCTGTATCATCGCTTATAATTATTACACGAGAATGGTTATCCACAGTGTCAACTGTATGCAACCAAACCCTTGTGTCCGCCTCCTTGTGGTTTCTGAAACAATGGGCGTTTCTGGGCGTTCAAGCGGTTTTCATATCTCTCCTATTCATGATACATATTAATTCCCTCTGGTTTTGCTCGAACATATTATATTATTTTTAGAGGGGGTCAGACCATTCTGACGATAAAAAACGGCAGACATGAAATGTGAAGTATTTTTTACCATTTCGAATTTAGAGTCTCTTCAATTTGATCAAAGTTGTCAGTGGCCGAATCTCTCATAGCAGCTCCTTCGGAAGTAACAGGCCTCCAAGAACATAATGTGCCGTGTCTTCTATATTTAATTGGTCGTATGACAGTCGCGTTAGTAGTGTTTGACTTCGTCGTATGACCAAGAGCATGCAAAGTCACGGTGCACTTGAATATAGTATGCGACTGGAACATATATATTAGCTGATATCCGAAATTTCAGTATGACTTAACACCTTCGTGTTGGATATTATGTTGGTTAACAAGCACAAAAGTCTCCAAGACCAAGTGGAACGAAATCTTTGCATAGTGTTAATGTAACACTATTAGTGATACCGGAATATCAGTTTTGTAAATATAAAATTTATTTACATCAGGAACAAGAATATAAAACAGGAACATGAATAAAATAGGAACATAACTCAAACAGGAATTACACTACATCAGGTATATAACAATAACATTAACATGGTACATTAAGACAACCATTCTGCCACGGCAGCGGCTGAACTCGTGTGAGTCCATACGCCGGTCTTCGCTCTCCTTTGCTCTTCTCGGGGTATTTAATCAAGAGCATTGCCACTACATCTGGAAATTATTAGGTCCGTAATTAAATACGTACAAATATGTATTGGGCGTCTATATATGCAGTGGAAAGTATAGTTTATATCGTAGATCAATAACGATAGTTTCAAAGGGTTCAAATTGGTTCGATGTATCTATAAATAAATATTGTACATGTATAAATTATAGTCTGAATATGATACAAGTTATTGAGATCATAGTCAAATTCAGTAATATATACTGTAACACTATTAGTGATAACAGAAATATCAGTTTTCTAAAAAAAAAACAACCAAAAATCAGGAACATAATATAAAACAGCTACATAAAATAAACATGAACATAAATTAAACAGGACTAAACTACACCAGGAAACGGTAACATTAAAGGACAATATTGGTGCCAGTCATTATCACATACGTGATAGAGCTGGTTAAACACATTCCAAATATAATTTTAACACAGAGATCATTGCTACGATAGCTGAGTAATACAGGTTTTCTGAATCGGATGTGACGAACGCCAAAGGAAAACACGAGTCATCTCTTTATATAACTGTACATGTCTGATGTGACGAGTGATGACGGATATACGGGGCACAATGTCGGGGTTTGCCGAGTGCACCACAGGGATCATGAATGACAACTGTCAGAGTGTGGTAGGGTTCCCCAGACACGCCAAAAATGCCACACCCCATCTAGCCAATGATAGAAAGCGTTTTTGAATATACATTTTCTGCCAGGTTTTGGCGAATTTTTACGATACAAGAGTGAAGAGGTTGGTTGGAAAATGGCATGTTTATTGGTCTCTACTTCTAGTTTGTGTATCTAAGTTTTCCATGATTAACCTCATGCGTGCTTTTGTGCAAGAGGTTGCCACATGTTATTCCATGTGGTAGAAAGCCAACGAACATTTAGGAAGATGTTAGAACCGGTCTAAAAGAGGATTCAATGGGGAAATCATTGGTGATCTGTAGCGGCCTGTTGGTCGCAAAAGTTCCCCAGAATTTTCCAGAGGGATTTCCTGTTGTCAGTGGGTGCAGGATAGAAATGAAATGGGGTTTAATGTCCTACTTTCATCTATTTTAAATGCTGACTTCTTCAATTACTACTTGAATTATGTACTGATCTTTTAAAATGTTTTTTTGGCATCAGACTTGAAACAGGTCCGTTTTGTTTTTAATTAAAAGTTTTGTTCCGAAAATATAAATTAAAATATCTTAATTTGGTCAATAATAAAGGGGTTATCATCCAGTTTCTAGTATGTAATAACATAACTCCATATTCTCTGTTCAGAAATTTAATACAGAAATACAAAAAGCAAGACAACATTTAATGTGGGCATTTAATTCATAAAATGCATGTTTAAATATTGGTATAATTAAGAGAAAAGATTGTTGTAAATAGCACTAGACAATACATGATAACCAATGATCACAAGTTATTAAATAAACATGATATAAACTATTATAAAGATATATTAATCTCCTTTAAGTGATGACATTCCAGCTCTCATTATCTCATCTACTAACAAAAGATTAGTGGCGATCACAGAACTGAAATACACAATGGTGATAATGATATGTCAATGAGGTTTAAAATCTTGTAAACACAAAGCTCTGGGCCCCGTTTCTCGTTATCTTAACTAAAGATAAAATCCACATTTTAGTAGATACTTCAATTTTGATTGGCTAAGCACTAAAATCAATCTAATATTATCCAATCAAATTACTAAAATTTGGATTTTATCTTAGTTAAAATTTTGCGAAACAGGCCGCTGGTCATTAAGAGATTTGATACTTTTTTCTATGTTTACAGTTACTTTTGATTGCCAATGGTTCAAGAACCAAGGCATTGTATTATTGTACACATGTACATGTATTCGATTTCTTTGGTCCCAATTTGAATGATATTTTTTGTTTATTTAATATACATAAAATATGAATAACTCACTGGTTATTCAAACATATGATACTTACCATGAATGTAGAAGTTGTTTTTTAACTCTATAATTATCAAATATACCACAATCAGCTGGTATTATAGCTTCCCCTACAATACAAAAAAATCCATATATTAGAACACTTGTGTTAAATAATCATTCACTTGCCATTGTTTGATATTGTATTGTGATTATTAGATCATATAAAAAAACATGCCAACAGTGAGGTTGATGTTCCCCACTGAAATCCCAAAATAAATAGATGACACAATATATTAATCAATTGCACATTTATTTATTTCAAAAGTATCAAGCAATCAAACTATACACTAAGCTTCATCACTCTCTATCAAATAGAAATGAAATGAAATGAAATAGGGTTTAACGTCCTACTGTTCTGCTCCTAACCTGGGCTAATGAAGACGGGCATACGCCATACAGTGTGCTATGAGGGAAATTTTGCCCGGACAGCGGCACTACGGCCTACTCTTATATCGAATTCCAACTGCCAAGGGATCTTTTACGTGCACGCCAATGTGTACACGGGACCTCGGTTTTTCGTCCCATCCGAACGACTAGACAGCTTTCCTTGTCAGCCCCTCCGTCCTGCATCACCGACAAGGGAGAACCAAGCCGGAAAATCTGGATGAACTTTCTCGGCCAATGCAGGGATCGAACACCCGACCTCCAGGCTAGCGAGCTAGCGTCTTACCCACTTAGCCACGTGATCCCCTCTATCAAATAGAATCAAGATTATCTTGTCCCAAACGCATCGACCAATCAAATTGATTAGCTCTGCTTAGCTTTAGCTCGAAATGTTAATCATTGAACTCGGTCAAGACATTCACCTAATAAACACCTACATCAAGTTTAAACATTCTACCTCAATTAAAAGCGGAGTTGTTTTGTTCAATAGTCTTGTTCTATCAAATTGCTTATCGCTCCTTAGCCTAAGCAGAAAATTCGCGCCATCTAACTTAGTCAAGGTAATGATATAATGAATCTATATTCGCTTTCACTTCATTATAACGAAAGTTATTGAGCCCCAAAGCATCAACCAATCAGATTGCTTATCTCTGCTTACCGTAAGCAGACAATGTTCATCACCGAACTCCTTAAAGGCATTCACCTAATGAACGCCTACACCAAGTTTCAACATTCTACCTCAATTAGAAGATAGTTATTGTGTCCAAAGTCGCTCTGCTTACCCTCAGCAGAAAATGTTCATTATCGAACTTAGTCAAGGTATTAGTGTATTAAAGCTATACACCAAGTGTCCCCACTCTCACTTTATTAGAACTGAAGTTATGGTGTCCTAAAGCATCAACCAATCAAATTGGTTATCTCTGCTTACCCTAAGAAGAAAATTCTCATGTTTGAACTCCATCAAGGCATTCACCTAATAGTTACCTACGCCAAGTGTAAACATTCTAACTCATTAGAATGAGTTTTTGTGTTCCAAAGGATCGACCAATCAAATTGCTTATCGCTCTGCTTATCCTGAGCAGAACCTGCTCATTATCGAACTTAGTCAAGGTTTGATGTAATGAAACTATACACCAAGTTTCATCACTCTCACTTAATTAGAACTAAAGTTATCGTGTTCCTAACCATCAAGCAATCAAATTGCTTATCTCTGCTTATACTAAGCAGAACATGCTCATCTTCAAGGCAATGACCTAATAAACACCAACCCCAAGTTTGAACATTCTAGCTCAATTAGGAGAGTTATCGTGTTCCAAAGTCTTGGCCAATCAAATTGCTTATCGCTCTGCTTACCCTGAGCAGAAAATGCTCATTATCGAACTTAGTCAAGGTATTGATGTAATGAAACTATACACCAAGTTTCATCACTCTCACTTAATTAGAACTAAAGTTATCGCGTCCCAAAGCATCAACCAATCAAATTGCTTATCTCTGTTTACCCTAAGAAGAAAATGCTCAGCTTCTAACTCTCCTCCAACCTCATGGGTTTTCTCCAGGTCCTCCGGTTTCCTCCCACTGCTAAAGACCCCTACGCGCCCCATTTCTCTCTCTCTCGAACTCTCCATCCTGGTATCGACCTAATCACCCACCCCAAGTTTGGATATTCTAGCTCAATTAGGAAGAGAGTTATTATGTCCCAAAAAGTGTGAAGGACAGACGGACGGACGGACAGACAAACCCATTTTTATAGTCCAATGCTTTATTCGAAAGGCGGGGGACAATAATATTCTTGTTAAACTGTTTCAATGGCATTAGTAATTGAACTGGAATATACAGGTAGCATTGCTTGATCAAGACTATAGAATGAATGTTGCTCTGTAATAAGCAGTAGGCTTGTGTTCCAGAAAATTGTGACTTGTATAATATTCTTTTTCTCAGATATGGGCATTTTGTCTTAAAAAGAACTATAAACAGCCTCAATGATTAATGCAAATGTAATGGGGGCCACTTCATTTACTACATGTAGCTGGGTAAAACACACAAGTACATGGAAAACAGCCCAAAACCTGTTAATGTCTGTAGAATGCAACACGCACGTCAATAATTTATTACTGCTTTCAAATGAACTTTGTGTGGCCTTACCGAGGTCCAATTTTATTAATGATAAAACACATTTAGTAATTATGTATGTCAATTCCTGTAAACAGTATGATTAAACATATAAAATACATGTTTAACCTTTAAATGTGACATCTGTAAGAAGTTCTTTAGTCACAGAGACTCTTAACAATAAAAAAAACCCTTCCACCCACTAGATCTTTGGTGAATGATTGCCGACAACCAGATAAAACTTTCATCAGAAGCACTTCAAAAATATATTTTTAATCTATAGACTATAAAAATTTCAACACACTCTAAAAGCTGGCAAACTTTTCTAAGAATAAATTAATTTTCCTATGTTATGTGGAAGAATATCATTTGAGATTTTAATTTTCATGGCATTTTATCATGTTTGTCCATCATGCTTCGGCGTTATGCTCCACCCCCAGATTATGTGGTATAAAATTAACCAGCATGACCCTGTGAATGTTTTAGGCCATCGAATTTGGGCCCAGGGCGAAGCTAGGCATCCTCCTAGTTCTTAAATTATGATTTTTACTGCAAGATATCACACTTTTTTTTTTTTTTTTAAACATTACTAATTCTTACCAGTTTTTATATCTAGACCAACAGCTTGAGTAGGAGAAATATATTCTTGCTGTAATTTGACAATGGCTTCTTGAGGATCTAAACCAGAATTCTGAGCTAAAACTTTCACAATAATTAACAATGCTTCAGCAAAAGCCTGAACACCTGAAAATGTAAAGAAATCAGAGTGCTGGAAAAAAATGTTTTGACTTGAATTCAGTTGCCTATTGATCAAAAGGAAATAACTCTTGCAATCTATAAAAATAGTAACCGAAAAGGGGGAATAAGAAGTAATTATCATTGCTTAAATATATAACTGATATTGGGTTCACGAGTTGACCTAAATCAAGAGATCCTTTCCTTTATATTCAAATCATCTTATCACAATATTATATGCTGTCCAGACTGCTAAATATAAACTAGTTATGTAGAGGGCAGCATTTTAGCTTATTATGGACGAGTTATTTGTTAATTATGCCTGTATTTGTCCTCCTTGAAACCTCAAATCTCAACAAAGAATACACATGCCCCCCAAAACCATCTTAAGTTGGCTATTTAAAGCTGACACGTTAGGATTGCTAATATAGGACAGCTTAGCTAAAAAGCCATCTCGAATAGAGGTAGAGGGTTGGGGTTTTAAAAACTTTTCCCACCCTTGTATTCAGACACCATAGTTAAACTGACTGAACAATCATAGATGTTCTTAACTATACCTAGTCTGGCTCGTCCTTTCACCTGGTCCTTGTATTTCATCAGCTCTTGGTAAGCAGCAATTTCAAAAGCTCCAGCACCCGGCAGAACACAGGCTAAAAGAAATAAAGAAGATGGTAGCTAACATTTTATAATTCAAGATAGCGCAACTATTACCCTTGGTGAGCGCAACTATTACCCTTGGTGGCTTATAAATCATTAGAAGTAAAGGACTACTTGAGAACCTTAGAACACAGAAATACGTAAAAGTTTACAAAGATCTATTTTTCTGCACTTCTTAGAAATTAAGTATGAGATTTACATTGAAGTAACTAATTATTCATAATGAACTTTTATATCTACTTACTATCTTCAATAGCATTTTTGACAGCTCTCAACCCATCTCTGACAGCATCTTTAATCTGTGTCAAGGTGTGTTTATTTGGTCCTTTGATGAGAATGGTAACAGACAATGGATTCTTACAATCTTCTAAAAACGTATACTTGTCTTCACCCTACAATATCAACATATTATATTGTAACATGGACGGGAAATCTTCCTTTGTTCTTTTCGTTAAATAAGCAGATTGTTTTTCCTAGACATGTTCAATGTTATTGCACTCTTTTGCTGGTTTACACTAGTTTTAGTAGAGAAGTGGGGTGGGTTTTCTGTGCAATAACAATAAGCATGTTGAGCAGGTGTCAATATTACAAGTCATTTATAGCACGCTTCGTTTGTTTACCTACGGCCTCCATGTTTAAACCTGTTAACTCATGAAAGCGGTGCTATAAATATAACTTAATCACTTATTATATATATATATACATATTTAAATAAATAGCTTAATGTGTTATAAACTTACTAGTACTTGTTCATAAACTAATCCAGCATGTCCTAATACATCAGGAGTTAAATCATCTACGGAATTAACAGCCATACCTCCACAAGCTAAAGCTAATCTGTAATAAACAATTCATTCAATTAAAGGGGCATTATTCATTGAATTAAATGGGCGTAATGCAGGTCTTTCTTTAGGTCTTAAACGTTATATAAATTATCAATTAGACATTAACTTATCAAGACCATAATCAACTCTTGATGGCATTGGACAGCTCCGATATCAATTAGATTTAAATTTGTTTTGCGGTTGCTGATTTACAATAAAATGGATAATCAAGACTTTGTTTATTATCGTAACAACGGTATCAATTGTATCGACGATAACTACTCAGAGTGGAGTAATTTGACCAAACTTTTCAACATATTTCCTTTTCATTACCTATTTTTTTAACTATTTTAGCAAGAACTCTATGTCAGCTCTTTATTTTATCTAATCTTATCTAATGCCCCTTTAAATGACCAGATCTTGGAGCTTTTTTTTGCAGGGATATTTGTATATATCATCAATAAGACATACTAACCTTTCCATATTTCTTCTTTTAGCTCTACGGAGAGCTACAATACCTTCCTTAGCCAGCATATCTAGAGACATAGGATCAACACCCTAAAATGCACAAATTTTATTTAAATGTCATAAAGGAAACCATAATAGTTTTAATATTTATATACAATTTACTGAATAAAACGGCTGGAAGAGAGATCTCAAATAACTTCTTTTTACCAACAACCGAGTAACGTTCTAAAATCAGCAGAACATAGATACTTAGATCTCCTTCAAGATCTTTTATTAAATTTACCTTTTGATTGAGAACAATAAAGCCTTTGTTGTTTCCATCACAAACTTTTTTCTTAAATTCAATAATACGTCTAACTCGATCATCAATAAACTTCCTTTCTGCATCAACTAACTTTTCTCTTTCAGCAGCAGTCTTGTAGAAAAAGCCAGAATTAACCTCACTGAAAAGAACAGGATATAATGAACATTAAGGTCTATATGTGACTTTAATAAACCTCTACTCATTGATAATAAGATGGTTTCGGTGTATGACAAACTTCTTTCACAATTCAGATCCAGCTACTACGATGCAAGATAAATAAAATGGAATACCGAAAGTAGTATCATGAACCCTTGAGAACAGCAGATATTATTTAGTAAAGCCCTTGGTTGTACACTTACGTTTTTTCGTACTCCAGGGACACATTACACGTCAAGATGAAAGCATCTTCTACTCTTTTCTTCATGTCAGGATGTCGGGCACCATGATCCATAACAATACCACGAACAAGACTGTAATATAAAATACATTATTGGAGCTATTGCAGGATAATTTTTCTGATTATATTTTACCATGTACTGTCTACTTCAGGGCCACCGTAACCAAAGTACAGTTGTCTTCCCTTCTGCCCTATTCGATCACTCAGTTTTCTTATAGCTTAAATAATAACACTATAAATATACAGAGAACTGTTTAGCAGAATATTATACTAGAAACTAGTTAAAATTCTAAGAATGCAGGATATTCTAATGTTAACAATACACTTGCTATTACCACGTGGTTTTTTATATCATTATGATGACACAGATTAGGTCCTTAATAAAGTGATATTTAATAAGCAAAAATACAACATTTATGTTAGAACTAAAACAAAGCGTTGAAAATTATGTTGAGATGAAAGAGAATTATTTCAAACATTCTTCGAACAAAGTTCGTATTTGAAGGCTGCAATTAAAAATTGTCATAGCAGATTTGACCAATGGACCGCGAGACCTATATTAGATAATGCTTCAGAGATCTTCAATTTGTAGCATGTTCTAAATTGTTTCAATAATACAAAATTGAAGAATATTTCATGTGTTCAAAACAGTCTTTCCAATAGTTGTAAACTTACATGGTGTCCATATCGGTCTTATGTTTCATCTCCATAAGTTCTACCATATGAAGATCAATTGGCTCCTTTGGTTTTTTTATAGCTAAAACAGCATCAACAACATGCTGAAAAATATCAATATTTTTCTTTTTATTCTACTTACTAAAAAACAAAAATCCAGATAGACTACTTTTATAGTAACATTTAGATCCTAAGTAATGAATACATAATACAAAAAATATATAATGTATAGAAATAATTCAAGACTTAAAATATACACTTTTGGTTTAACTCTGAACACAGTATTGTAATGTTTGTGTCCAGACATTTCGTCACAAGCCTTTGAAAAATAAAAACAAACCTAAAAGCCTTCCTCCTGGATCAGATTACTCTATGGAGTTTCTGACAAACAGAATATCGTATAAATTACTAAATATGAGAGAGTTTGTCGATTTCTAAACAAATAAATAGTGTACCATATTTTACTGCATAGACAACGAATGGTCATATTTTGACTTTACCATACAAGTGCAATTATTTAACAGACAATGTCACTTGACAGTTCGCAACTGAGAATTATTTTTCAGGATGTAATTTTATTTTATCTTCATCCATAATATGTAAGTCAATGTAGAGTATAAGACGAAGGTCTGACTTCTGTGGGGGGGAAAAAGTATTGACATATACCCCAAAAATTACAGTACTTTGCATTACCTCAGTTAAAAGATCAGCTAAATCTTGATGAACTTTAGTACGTAGTGATGTTCTGGCTACCTGTATTAAAGCATCTCTATCCATTTCTTTACTTATCTTGACTTCATCTAAAACCTGGAAAAAAACATATGGAAAAGAAAAGATTTCTAATGAAACTGCACTGGAATTGACAAATATAACTGTAAGAGATGCATAGGCGTCAAAACATTCCACAATTAACAAGTGATGGGCCGACTTAATTGTTTAAATCGTATACTTACTTCAAGAGCTTTGTTCCTCGCTAGTTCAAATCCTTCAGTTATTAACCTTGGATGTAATCCCTGAATAGGAAAGAACAAGCATGAATATGGTAAAAAGACATTCTTAAACAACTACCCTGAACTTCATTTGAGAGACTGTTTTCACTGAAATCATTTGAAGGACCATTTTTATTTTTTTAAATCTGATCGAGTCCTAAACTGGGGATTATCACTGATATTTTGATTTTGTTTTCTTAAAGCATTTTAGTGTGGATTAAGTTGTGAATATTTCGATATGAAAATGATGCACAGAAACTTAAACAAAACAGAAAAGATAACTATTTAGCTAAGTTAACCCTTGTACGGACACGTCGCACGATAAACATTGTCGGCAACAAGGGGTAATCTAAGACCCCAGACATAAATTGGTTTTTGAATGCATAATTTTATTCAAATATGATTAAACTACAGATTCATATAAAGACTGAAGAATAATCAAAGTAAAAAAAAAAATATTTGAGGTATTAACAGTGACAATATCAATTGCAAAGTGTTTTTGAAACCATAACAATCTGCAAATAACTTAATTGTCATTTCCATGTAGAATTGTCTTTTGATGGGGTTGGTAGAACAGAACAGATTAGACACTTGTAACCAGCAAAATGTTTAAAGGAAAGGGGGGAGGGGGCCACAAGACCCCTCGTTTCCGATAATGTAATACTTGTCAAATGATGAATGTTGCCACTGCCTCACTTCCGTTCTATTTGCAACATTAAACTCGAAATTAAGTAGCTGACGATGCATAACAATCTTGCAAGACAATTATAATTCCTCACAAATGTTAAGGATATGGTCGTGGGGTCCCGATATACCCCTTGTATACGCACATGGCATAAAATAAAGAGAACTTTTATACAAACTATGTAATATGCAAATAATAGTTATTGGAGCCAAACATAAGGCTGGCCTTAAAAATATCTGTTTCGCCGACCCGTTAAAACCAGTCCCGACTTAAATTATATGATTGCACTTTTCCATGATCTTTTTATTTTATTTTGTTTGCCAATTTGAAATATATGAGAGTTATTTCCCTTTACTATGGCTCGATTCATTATTGGAACTAGTTAATCAAGACGAAAATGTCATGGGTGTCAATTCTCAACAAAATGACCATTCTCATGAAATGAAACTGCCTCAATATCTGTTTTCGAGTAACATGACGGCACAACCAGCACGATCTCTAAAAAGGTGTTGAAGGAAATTCACACTTAAATTTCATGAAAAATCTTGTTCCAGCCGTGTCTCACTAAAAATCCCAATGTCATCGGTTTTGTGGGCCCACAAGTAAAAAAAGACTAATGTTTACACCTGGAAAAAGATTAAGCTGTCGAATTAGCTCTTCGAATTTAACTTTAAAGTAGCCAATTCTCTAACTCAATATCATCCAAAGTTTTCGACATTGAAAATACAAATTTCTTTGTGAATTTAAATCAACATTTATGTTATCTTACCGGGAAAAAGATATGCGGCAGATATCCAATATTTAAGACAAAATAAACATTTTACCATTAATACACTAATCTGGAGAGCATGCGCATATTATCGGTGTAGACTGGAATAACCAGATGCTAGAGATTGCCATTCGATGGAGATTTCTGGCATATTTCGCCGAACAGAACTGATTTGAAATTAGAGTAAACATGAAAAGATTGAATGTAAATCAGTTTATATACATTCATATTACATTATTATATGCGTTGCGACCCATTTGTGTCAATTTCTAGATCCCAAATATTAGCGATTTAGGCCATGTTGAATTAATTCCTTGTTTCTCCTCGCCCGCGTGCTTAGGTTGAGGACCCCCGAAAATTGTACGCTTACCTTTTTAACATCAAAAAAATATTAAAAAAATTATGTTAACATCTAAATAAAATTCTACCAAACATAAGTCATTTCTCGTTAATTCCTCATTACGAACTAAAGATGTTGATAATACATGTGTGGGGGCCCACATACTCTGGAATAAGTAACACTGTATTTGATTGGATGAATTCCGCAAAATGGCACATGTAGCAGTCATTTCGGCTAATGGGAAAGCATATTTTAAACTGTAAAACAGTCGCTAATATTCAACCAAGAACCTGAATAATCAATTTTTTCATTGGCTAAAATTATAACACGTTATTATTATCAAATATTTATACACAATTTGCGTACAAGGAGCTGCCATTGTGTTTGGAGGTTTCGATTCAATCTTCCCGAAATTCGAAATCAACCTTCATTATGGTGAAACGATGACATTAAACGGTTCTTCCCGAAATTCTAAATCAACCTTCATTATGGTGGAACGATGGCGTTAACGGTTTTTAAAATCTAATAAAAAATGGTGTCCTCTAGAGGATCCAATAAGCCATAATCCAGGAGGTTATGGTTTGATATGTGCAATTATCCAAAGCAACTGAGATCTTTGAGATATAAACATATATTTTAAGTTTCTTTAAAATCGAACAAAAGTTGGGACATCTAGCAGGTCCACAATCTTGGCATTACATACTTTTAAACAATTTGCGTTTAAGGAATGGCCATTTTGACAAGCAGTTACTGTCCAATATTTACGAAATTCATACTTAATCATCATCAGGGTGTTAGGATGATATATTTAAATGATTTTTAAAATCCACTAAAAAAAAAATCAACAAGCTAAAATCTCAATTTTTTGGTACAGCCCGGCGCCATAATCCAGAAAGTTACGGTCTGTTATACGAAAATATGAAAAGGAGCTGAGATCTTTGGGATATAAACGCGTTTAAGTTGGATAAAATTGGATAAAAATTGTGACTTCTAGATGGTACAGAGCCTTGATATTACATCTTTAACACTATTTCCGTACAGTTGGCAGCCATTTTGTCCAACAATTTTCTCAAAATTCGAATTCAATTATCATAATGGTGTAACAGTGATATATTTCAATGTTATTTTAAATCGAATAAAAATTGTGACCTCTAGAGGGACCACACGCTAAAAACATGAATTTTCATTCCATTAGGGATTATAATCCAAGCAGTTACTGTCAGATATGCATAAATATCGAAAAAGAACCAAGATCTTTGGGTTATAATAAACATATATTTCAAGTTTTATCAAAATCCGATAAAAATTGTGACCTGTAGCCAAAAAGGTGATTTTTCGTACAATCAGGGACCATTATCCATAAAGTTACGATCAGATACATGCCAATATCGAAAGGAACCAAGATCTTTGGGAGATAAACATATATTTCAAATTTCGTCAAATCGGATAAAAATTGTGACCTGTAGAGTGTCCACAAACAAATATACTTCCATATAAAAATATGAGCGTATAAAAATAACAAAGATTAATACCTCTGTAATATAGAGATCAGCTTGTTTTAATAGCTCCCCTATAATAAGAACATTAGATGTTGTACCATCTCCAGTTATATCATCTTGAGCTGTAGCTACTCTAGCAATCAAACTTGCTGTTGGATGTTGAATTTGCTGAAGTAAATATAAACTTATATCAATATCTTAAATTAACATCAGGACAACACATCATGTCATAAAAGAGAGAAAGAGATAGGGAAATGGAGTTTAACGTCCACTTGACACAAACCAGGTCATTCCGGGACTAACACATGGTTCAAGTTTATTTCAATAATTCGCTTGTGCGTAGGGGACTTTACCAGTGGAAGGAAACCGGAGGACCCGGAGAAAACCCATGAGGTGGGACAGGCTACCCTACTCCTTGTCAAGTACAACCAGGGAATCGAAACCACGCCAGTTGACTTAATGACAGACCTCGTGATACAGCGCGCACATGCTAACCATTTGGCCATCCAACTCCCCTCATGTCAGAAAACATTTCAGAATTCCAATTGAAAATACCTACCATTTCAGGTCATAAAATATTTTAGTATTCTGATTGAAAATACCTCCCATTTCAGCTAAAACATTTCAGAATTCCAATTGAAAATACCTACCATTTCAGGTCATAAAACATTTCAGTATTCTGTTTGAAAATACCTACCATTTCATGTAATAAAACATTTCCATCTTTTGTTAGTTTTATATCACCAGCACCAGATACCAACCTAAAATATAAACAAAATCTATTCTTTGATCACTGACAAAAGTAATAGATTACTCCAGGGTGCCAAGAGGTTTTGTTCACGGTTAACCTCTCAGTCTCTCAAGCTGGTCTACTTGAGCTCTAATTTTGACTGAATTTTTGGAAGACAAAATATTCATTCATGAGCTGAAAGGCGTCAGTCTGTAAATTCCATATTCAATGAGCCATTATTGAAAAACAATAAAACTCATTGACAAACAACAGCTGTCCAGTAAAACACATTTAACCAAAATCACATTTACCAAAACCTACAACATGAATAATCGACAACTATGTTGGAATAGGTTGACCTATATATGACGTCTCCAAATTTTTACTTGAAATGAAATATAATTTTATATAATGTTGCAATCTTTCCAGGACACAGAACCAAATATCAATGTTTTAGGACAACTTAGATATGCCTTTAATTAAGAATCCTAAGATCAAGGAAATGTTTGGCCAATTGGCACAATTTTTATTTGACTCTTTTCCTAAATGTGACTTACTATATTATTAAACTGTGAACATCAAACTGTAACTGAACAACAACTACCAGTTTCCATTCATAATATATTTTCAACTTACGGACAGGACAAAAATGGAATTCTGACAACTTACACTAATTAGGACTATAATGATCTTGTAACCCTTTTCATATTTAATTGAATCATTTCTGATTTATATCAGAGTTGCCAAGACAAGATACCTGATATAAGGTGCCCCGTGCAGTGAAAATTTACCCTACAGAAAGTTGGACGCGACATGGCGAATGTGCATGCTTCAGCGGCTTGTCTCAAAGTGATTTCTGGCTAATCATGCAGTGCAATAACACTCAGCATAAGAGTCTATGAGACTATAAATAGCCATCGCATGTGCAATTCTCTACACATCTATCAACTATTAAAGCCGTAAAAAATCTATTGTTGACGCTTCTGAATAGCAGTAATATTTAGCTTGTTGGTTATTACAGCAGCTTTAGAAATTTTGTTCGTTTTATTTTTTAAATTGCTTTATCATTAACTGTACCGTGGCATCTTTTGGTTTAGTACAAATAATATCTCTAAAACACTTGCGTTAGGCAAGAACATGATACTAGCATTATTTTCATTTTACTTTTACAAGGTTCTTTAAAACAATTGTTGAGTTGCCTGACGTGCGTGTTTCTAAATTCAATTTCTTGTTCCAGCTTTCTGTTATGTTTAGTAAAAAAGTAGTCTTGATTATCCCGGCCTGTCAATCAGACGTAGAATGGTCAGTTGACTGGTTAAGGGAGACTAATTTCAAAACAAGGGCATGTAACCTATTTTTTACTCACAGGTGCCCGGATGTTAATATTTTTATGGCTGAAACTCATGTTCCATCTTTCAGTGTATTATTTATGGATGGTTAAATCATCATAGTTTATTAAGTACAACATGACCGTTAATTAGTGACTACAAATGTGCAAAACAGATTTAAGGCTTGGTGTAGGCCTATATATATATATGAATATTGTGGTGTAATTGTCGAGATATTTATTTATTGTGGGTCTGCTGGGTCACCCTACCAGATGAACAAGATCATCTGGCAACACAATACTAGATCTTTGTACGATCTGAGAAATATCTTTCTCTAGGGTCAGGGTTAGGGTTCGGATTAGGTTTATAAATTACATGTCAAACGAACAAATTGAAGCTGTAACAACGGTGGATTGTGGCTAAAACTATTCTGAAGGGTTAGGGTTAGAATTGTGGGTATAAACACGGAAAAAATCAAAGATATTTCTCAGATCCAGTATCCTGCCATCTGACAATGACATTCCACATTGGTCTCTACTGTCAGTGCAGAGTGAAAATTTTTCCTTGTCTTCATATTATTATTAACGTTGTTGTATCAATGTTTTTGGAAGGTCAAAAATCAATGTAGGAATTTTAATTAATCAGTTTTTTTAATTACATAACATATTAGGACAGATATTGCCCAAAATCGTTGACTAAAAGTTTGAGACATTCTTAACTACATAAATAAAGCATAAAGAATATGTGCTGTCGACAACACGTGCTTTCAGCGTGTTGAAGCGAGTCAGTTTCGAGAACATTCCAACTTCGTTGAGATTAAATTTCACAGAAATGGATTAGTTCCTTACATTTTCATGGTTCCTTTCGGCCCCAGGTTTGTTCGAAGAACATCCTGAAGACCCTTAGCCGCACTTATATTTACAGCCAAAGCTTGTGCGGCTCTAGCTACTTCGGCTTTAGGATTCAACGATGTTATCGCCGACATTTTGTATATCTGACTGGTTATAGTCGACTTGCCGGTTAAAGGGAAGTCACTCTATTGAATGATTTGCCACGCGATAGTCTCGCGTTTCCACACGGGATTAATCTGGCAGGGAACTTAACAAGTTTACCAAAATATTATCATTTTACACTTACAGTTCCCCCAAAAGATAGAAATCATGATACTGCATAAATAGTAATGGTGAGTAAAACTACAAGGGTTTATTATTTCTTGAATCTTCTGTATTCAAAATTAATCAACATTGCCTGAAGTGATGACACCGTCCGTGACACTTCCACAAAATAATAACTTTAACTTTATACTTTGTCATTTTTTATGTACAGAAGCTTGAAGTTGAGGAAGGAAGGATTCTGAATTTCAATCCGTATACACCAGGCCCTAGCTACCAGACAATATACAATAAAAAATGAACAGGAATGCAATGCCTGTTGAATGTTGATTTTACTTGCTCGCGACTGTGGTCACTGTGGCTAAGTGGGTAAGATGCTGGCTCGCAAACCTGGAGATCGGGTGTTCGATCCCTGCATTGGCTGAGAAAGTTCATCCAGATTTTCCAGCATGGTTCCCCCTTGCCAGTGATGCAGGACGGAGGGCCTGACAAGGACAGCTGTCTAGTCGTTTGGATGGGATGAAAACCGAGGTCCCGTGGAATTCGATATAGAGTAGGCTGTAGTGCCGCTGTCTGGGCAAAAATTTCCTTCATAGCACACTGTATGGCGTATGTCCGGCATATGCCATACAGTGTGCTATGCGGCCTACTCACATATCAAATTCCAACTGTCAAGGGATCTTTTATGTGCACCTCCAGGCTAGTGAGCCAGCGTCTTACCCACTTATCCACTGTGACTCCCCGTCTTCATTAGCACAGTTCGGAGCAAGTAAAATCGAGGATTCAACAGGAATTGATGCATTCCTGCTCATTTTTTATTGTACATTGTATATTTTATAGCTATATATTATTGTGAAAATATGGAATCCTAACATCCCAATATTTTAGACCCAATCAACAATTTTGAAATAAGTTGACAAGGTCGTGTAGGCCTACACTATCCTCTATGAGCGCCATTTAAAGATGCATTGTGTAAGATTTAGATAAAGAGCTGGCCTTTCTTGCTATACCGGTGTTATTACTAGTACCAAAATAGATAATTCAAAAATAACATATTAAAAATTTCATTCAAATTAGACCTACTTAATTCAGAGCAATATTATCACAATTTGAAGTTTTGAATTTTTATTATCATAGCAACATCACTTGTTAATCAAGACTCAACTCAGCCTCACTTCTCCATTTTTAACTTAAATCATTAAATGGGGATCATATTTTAATCTGTTTACATCTGCATTCTGCACCATCTGATGGTCTAGAGTGTTGATTAAAGACTTGTTATGTTAATAAATGTCTGAATAATAATTTATTTATAATTTGAAGCCAAAATAAAATCCTGTGATTTGCAATTGGGAGATAATTACCAGTCTGGTGTGTGTGTGATAAAAAATTTCTAGTACATTTCTCGTAAAGTTTTCTCTTCTTCGGAGCAAGTACTGAAGTCAGCTGACATCCAAACTTCTTTTTGATAGATAGATTATTATGTTGATTTACATGTACCAAATAAAACCTTTGGCAGAAATAATGTTGAAGACTATAGTGCATGTTAGCTACATGTAGAGTGATGTTTTCTTAAGGTAATGATCGAATGCTGTTATTTGAAACAATGCCAGAATTAAAGATACATTATGGGAGATTAGATAAAGAGCTGGCAGTTCTCACTATAATAGTTAAAAACTAGATAATGTAAAGGGAATTTGCTGAAAATTTCAGTCAATTTGATCTACTCTGAACCGAGATTTTATCGATTGAACTTTCGGCCTAGCCGCGAACATCATTACTAAAGTTGGTACGATAAAAAATATAGTCTTGATTATCCATTTCATGATTAAATCATGAATGGAAGTCGAACATCAAATCGGAACCTAATCCAATAAATATCGCAGGCTAGTGATGACATCGAGAGTTGATTATTGTCTGGATAAGTTAATTAATGTCTAATTAATATTTTAGATAACATTTCAGGCCTAAAAAAGACCTGCAATAGGCAGATTTAGCTCTTGCATAATGTATGTTTAAGTTAGTCACAGAGCACATAATAAATGTTAATGCAGTGAGTCAGTATGTTACAGTTGAAATTGAAAAGCTATCAATGGGATTTTTTTGATTTTTTTACAGATATTATGTTTAATTTAATATTGCTTAATGCCTTTCAAACTCTAAAAAGTTGGAGAAGACATCTCCACCGTAGGCAGTTTGGAATTATTCCCTATTAACAGGGCCTATAGTTTCTAACACTCAGCCAACATTTGTCCCAAATTATTGAGAGGATCTGAATAACATGATAATACTATAAGCTGAAGCTTACACAGTTCAATCCACAGGGACTGTGATCTATAATCTCTGTCAGTCCACTCTCCAGTTCAAGCATTACCGTGTCAATAAACAAAGTGGCCGGGGATACTGTACTTTTCTCAGCATCTTTAGATTGTTTTGTGTGCATTTTTGATTCAAAGTGTTGATATCTTGTAGGCCTACAATGTTTCTGGAACCCTATGAGATATAAATGACAATAATAGTTTGCAAAATACAGATCGGTTATTGGCATTTTTTTTTTATTTTAGTAGGCATTCATAGAGTCCAATTAAAATTTACGGATTATTGCTCTTGATTACTTTAGTCTATTGTAAAATGCTCTCGTTTTAAAAGAATTATAAAAAACATTAGGTAGTTAAGAAAGTTGTCATTGAGATGAAAAACCAAAAAAACCTGGTAATTATTTTCTCCGAAAATTAAGGCATCAAGCAAGGAGTTAGTATACTCTGTGTTATTGATGTGCTTTGGTGCAGCAAAGTAGAGTGTTAAACTCACCTCATTTTATCATACATACATTCATGTACATCTAGGTTGAGTTAAAAAAAAAAAAGATTTAAACCTAACCATTTATATTGATACATTGTGTGTACCACGATCAAATTTCCTGCTTTCATAAGATATGTTTTATCATGAAGTTTGTTTAGGCTCTGTGTCATCACCAAAACTCATATGAATTAGATTATTTATGTAAAGACTAGAGGATTTTATTTGGGTACAGTTTTATGAAGATTGAATCTTAGTCTCATTTTGGTTTTAATTTATTTGTACATCTCAGTATAATATGCAGATTTACATGTAACTACCTACTTTCCTTATATTTTCAGTTGTCAGTGTTCTTTGAAGTCTGGGAACCATGGTGGCTTTGGCCCATATTTTCGAAATTAGATTAGTGCTGGTTAGGCAACATCTTGCCCACTAAGCTCCCTTTATTTTTTTTTTGACACCATACTTTCCCCCTTTCTCCATAATTCACACACATTCTTCATATAGCTCAACTTAAGCTGTCTGCCATTAATTATATATATAAAAAGTCTGCGGCCCTCCTTGTTTGTGACTGCCCCCCCCCCCCTCCAAGGGTAGGATTTTTCATTAGGGGTGGGGTTCAGCCAAACCAAGGTCTCGTTGAGCGTATCGAGGACAGCATATTTGTTGACACTTTCAATCAATTATGTAGTGAAAAAAACACAAGGCAAAGTCGACTAGAAATGACATTCGTTGCATTTAAAGAGTTTGTTACATTCTTTGTTGCAGTTTCATATGTTCACACAATATTTCCAACAAAGAGATGTAAGAAATGAAAAACAGCCAAGTTCAAAGCGGAGCAAACTCAATAATTGTATTTTAGGTCTTTGAAGCTTTATAATTACAAATATACTGTTCATGTTTTTATATAATAAACGATATTATATTTAATATATCTCATGAAATTTTATGTAATTGGCACTCAGTTGTATGTATAGAAATTGCAAAAGCAGTATCTAAACGACCAATTAAATTCCATCGAAACATGAAATAGACACAATTTATGTTATATAATGACATGCCAAGCGGGGTGATGCGAACAACTTTTTTAAAAATGACTAGCAGGATACCCGGCTTCGCTCGGGGGTCATAACTCCGAAACCGGAAGTGGTAGACTAACGCCACCTGGTCTATGTTACTCCCTGGTCCGAGCTACCCCTATACCCCAAATTTCAGACTCGGGGCAGACCTAGTGTAGCCGCCAACCCCGAACAGACCGGCTTCGCTCGGGGGTCATAACTCCGAAACAGGAAGTGGTAGATTAACGCCACCTGGCCTATGTTACTCCCTGGTCCGAGCTACCCCTATACCCCAAATTTCAGACTCGGGGCAGACCTAGTGTAGCCGCCAACCTCGAACAGACAGACTTCGCTCGGGGGTCATAACTCCGAAACCGGAAGTTGTAGACTAACGCCACCTGGCCTATGTTACTCCCCAGTCCGAGCTACCCCTATACCCCAAATTTCAGACTCGGGCCAGATGTAGCCGCCAACCCCGAACAGACAGACTTCGCTCGGGGGTCATAACTCCGAAACCTGAAGTGGTAGACTAACGCCACTTGGCCTATGCTACTCCCCGGTCCGAGCTACCCCTATACCCCAAATTTCAGACTCGGGGCAGACCTAGTGTAGCCGCCAACCCCAAACAGACCGGCTTCGCTCGGGGGTCATAACTCCGAAACCAGAAGTGGTAGACTAACGCCACCTGGCCTATGTTACTCCCCGGTCCGAGCTAACCCTATACCCCAAATTTCAGACTCGGGGTAGACCTAGTGTAGCCGCCAACCCCGAACAGACAGACAGACAGACAAACGACAGTCACAAATATATATATAGATAATTACATTTTCATCTTCCAGGTGACCGGCCTATGTCGGGAGTCTTATTTAAAGGGCCAATCGCAACTATATTTTTGAGAATAAAACTGATTAATTTTGTGTTAAAAGTTAAAAGTCCTTAAAATCCTCTACCTTTGGGCCGAGCAACTAACTCAATATACGTGATACGTTTTCAGACAACTTAAACCAGTCAGTCTTCATCTGGAAATGGAGACCGGTGTCCCAAATAATATTATACTTTTATTTTATAAAAATAACGTGTAAGTGATATATACCTTTCGTTATCAAGTACAGCACATGGGTCATACATGTACATGTACATCTCTGAAGGAACGGCAATAGATTATCAGGTCACCCAACGAAAAAAAAAATTGAATTGAACCCTTAAAAGAGTTACGTATCCGGATAAGCGGTTTTGATGTTGACGTATAAAGGACTCATTATTTTGAACTGAAATTTTGAGACAAGTTAAATACACCATTCTTATATATTTTGGTGCTTAAATTTCATACAAACACTTTTGTTTCTGAGACTCTGTTAAAATCCGGGATGTAAATAGATACATGTATATTGCAAATTTATACAAAATTGACAAATAATGATAAATTTGGATGTTAATCCGACTAATCCGAGAGAATTTTCTATTGTAGTCAAGACAATTACACCTCCGCACCTCCCCGTTGTAAACTCAACTAGGTCGCTTGTGGGAACTGTGACGGATAACAACTACTGAAATTCACTGTTCCATTACTAAAAAATTCTACAATACAAAATATTTCATACTCTAATTTACTTTGTAAACTCAACTACATGTAGGTCATTTCTGGGAATGTGATGGATAATAACTACTGAAATTCACTAAAAATTTCTACAATACCAAAAATTTCATACTCTAATTATCCCTTTAGAGAGAGAAATGGGGTTGGGGTCTTTAGCAGTGGGAGGAAACCGGAGGACCTGGAGAAAATCCACGAGGTTGGACAGGCGATGATCCCTTTGAACCTCAAGTTGGGAAACACGGTTCTCAAACACAATGTCAACTTCTGTAATCTACTTCCGGTAACTAGTCCCTTTCGTCAATGATAAACAAAAAATCTTTAATCAATGATTATACAAAATCAGTGATTTAAATGGTTGATTTACAATCAAATTTTGGAACTTAATTTTAATTGTTGACGAAGAGAAATTCTAGTCTAAGAGTAAGATTAGCTAATCTGACTTTTGAGAATGCCAAACTTTGTCAACTAAGTACTAATCTTAGCTAGTTACCGATTAGACCTATTAACACAGATTATATTAGACACTATTCGAAAAAGTGGGCCTTGATTAAGATGTTAGCTTGCTTACCTTGAGGTCCCTGCATTGGCCCAAAAAGTCAATCAGAATTTTCCGGCGTGTCAGTGGTGCAGGACAGAGGGTCTGGAAAGAGACAATCCATATGTAGTCGTTCGTTCGGATGCCAGGTCCCATGTACACATTGACGTACACGTAAAAAAGATCCCTTGGGATTTAGAATTCGATATAAATGTAGGATGTGGCGTCGTTATCCGGGCAAAATTCCCCCCATAGCACACTGTGTGGCATATGCCCATCTTCATTAGCCCACTAAGAGCAGAACAGTAGGGCTCTAAACCCCATTTCATTTCATTTATCTTTGAACTCTGATGTGATTAAACAATTTTTTCCCAAAATTACCACTTAAACATGCATTATGCAAGAGCTAAATCTGCCTATTCCAAGTCTTTCTTTAGGCCTGCAATGTTATCTAAATTATTAATTAGACATTAACTAACTTATTCAGATCATAATCAACTCTTGATGCCATCGTTAGCATGCGATATTTAGTGGATTTAAATACATTTTGTGATGGATAATTTAAAATTTAATGTCAAAATGGATAATCGAAACTTGATTTATTACCGCACCAAAGTTAGTTATGATGTTTGAGGCTAACCTAATATTGAATCACTAATATCTCAGTTTAGAGTGAAATTTTCAACATACATGTATATTCAGTTTCCATTTTATATTTTTTTAACTACCGTATTATAGCAAGAACTGTCAGCTCTTTAACTAATCTTACTTAATGCCCCTTAGAGTTTTAGCATTTCTTTTGTCTTCATTGACTAAGTACATTATTTAGTTGTTTGGATGGGCTGAAAACCAGGGGTATAACGTAAAAGAACTCCTGACAGTTCAGTTCAAAAAAGAGTAGGTTGTAGAACTGCTGGCAAAGTAGTGTGTAGTCATTCGGATGGGCAGAAAAACAGAGGTCATGTGTACACATTGGCTTTCACTAAAAAGTAGTCTACTGCAAAAAAACCTGTAGTGTATGTATAGTATTGTATACCTATATGTACACATGTACAAGTATGTGAGCAGTAATTATATTGACCGTACGTTTCCTCACTGTCTACCATTATAAAGCTTATTAAAAATCTGTTTCTCTATACATACATTGAGTAGGCTACAGATTCATTATATTGTAGATGACTGGGTGTTACAGACTAAGTGTTGATGTATTGATTTTTGTTCTTATAACATGGCTATTTACTGATTCAGGTGCAGGTGAAAGAGAATGGTAGTTGTTCACATTTTATATGGAGCCATTTAAATTGACTCTACAGCAAGTCACATTTAAAGAGGGTGAAGAAAATCCTAATCAACTATTCGATTCGTTTGATGCTGTTATAAACTGTAACTACGACTCAAAGAGATCTGATGAAAAAGAACCTGCAACTAACATCTATAGAAATGATTATCAGAATGTTAAATATACAACTTGTAGTCTAGGTAAGCTTAAGGCATTTAGTTTAAATTGAATCTTTTTATTAAGTGTTAAAGGGGAAGTACAGGCAACAACTTATACTTTAGTTGTATTCTATATCTTCTTACTGTACACTGACCAAGAAAACTCCCATTAAACATACATTATGCAAGAGCTAAATCTGCCTATTGCAGGTCTTTCTTTAGACCTGATATGTTATATAAACTATTAATTAGACATTTATTAACATGAAAAGACCTTAATCAACTCTCGCTGATATCTTTGAACCCAATCTGCTGCTCAACACCCATTGATGATTAAATGCAAAAATGGATAATCGAGACTGTGTTCTTTATCGTACCAACTTTAGTAATGATGATCGAGGCTAGGCCTGAAATTCAATTGTTAATATCTCGGTTCAGGGTGGAGCAATTTGACTGAAATTTTCAGCATATTCCCTTTACATTATCTATTTTTCAACTGTTATAGTGAGAACTGCCAGCTCTTTATCTAATCTTCCATAATGCCCTTTAATTTGCAAGAAATATTAACTTCCCTTTTGGTAAACAGACATAGAATACAGTATAAACTGTGACTTTAAAGATCTAAATCTGCCTATTGCAGATTTTCTTTTGGCTATAAATGTTAATTATTATTTAGACTTTTATTAACATGACAAAACTATAATCAACTATCTAGACCATCGTATGGCCGAGATTTAAATGGATTAGAACACTCACAAGTTTTTAAAATTTAAAGATTAAATGGATACAGTTGGCATGTATAAAACATGGTTATCCAGGCATCTACACATTAAGGAATTTAGGAACTTATTGTAAACTGCACATGATAACCTGTGTTATTGACTATAAAGTATAATAATAGCTTTGGATTGACTTTGACGTGAAATTATTACGACTAAGTGTACTACTGTTCTCATCTATATTGTTTTGCTTTTTTTTGTTGCAGATTTTACTACCCAGGCTGTAGGTATTCAGGTTCCTAGTAGAAGTGGAGTAGTAAAAACATCTAGAACAGATTGGTATAATTATACTGGTGCATCACCCAGTACATCACTTGATGATTTTGTTATAAATGCTGATGTTAATTTTACATCACAAGCAAAACATGAACCAATTGTAACTGATATCTCTACAATAGCAAAGGTAATGTATACGACCGGTACATGTAATAGTAGAGGTATATTACTAATATTAGACAATGTAGAAACTGTACAACAAGACCAAACAAACATTTTTAAATGTAATAAAACTGAACTGCAAGACACATACAGAACAATCCATATACAATGTAGTAATTTTGTTACTTTAATTTGTTGTCCAGTATGGTTAATATTTACATCTTGTATTACAGATATCATCTAATTCATTAGCTGCCAACCAGCATATACCTTTTACCAAAAAGAAAAGAAAAATCAGAACATTTCTAACAACATCCCTGAAAACAACCATGCCAACTGAAATGGAAACTAATACTGATCAACAAGGACTTGTACATACACCTGTACTTGATTCTTCTTTTGACACGGTAGCTGAAGCTCTACATTTACAGAGAACTGTTATTGGTAGGTTCTTTTATTTTGGTTAATACATGGGTTGGATTGTCAGGTGCAAGGGTTCTGTCATACTTAAATCAGAAACTTGGAAGATTCTTGCAAATTCTTTGAAATGCAGCAAAATTCACTGCCACTTATTAGACATTTGATCATGCCAAGATTCTGTACATAAACTCTGAAATATTTCAATAAATCTTGTAGCTCAGTTTTCCATAAAATATTTTTTGTAATCAAAGGATTCTTGCAGACTTTTTTCCAAAAAATCTAATTAATATTATTTGTTATAGGTAATAGTAACATCACTCCAGCTCCTCCTGATGTAGTAGCACAGATTGTAGCGGAGGCAGAGAGAAAATTACGTCTAGAATCCGAAAGTAATGGCAGTGTGTCATCATTATCAGAAACATCTAGTCTACATTCTGAACAGGTTTGTTTTAATTATTATCCGTAATGAAATGAAGTGGGGTTTAACTTCTTATTTTTCTGGACCGTGCTATAAAGTTTATTTAGCCTGGATAGCGGTTTCTTTTACGTGCACGCCAATATGTACACAGAACCTTTTTTTATCCAGTCGACTAAACTCCCTCCTTGCACCACTATTAAGGGGGAAACTTGAGGACCTTTCTTGGCCAACATTAGGATCGAACACCGGACCTCCTTTTTTGTGAACCAGTGCTTAACTGACTGGACCACTGCGGTTTATTATCTGTAATGAAAATATCAATAATCTCTATATAAAGTGCATAATTTGTAAACATATTATATTGTTGAATCCCTAATGCCCTGCAAAGACTTAAAGATGCATTACTACTTTTACCAAAAAAATAGGTTTAATTAAGTTTGAATAATATCAAATTCAAAATGGCCTTAGACACATCTATGAAATATACAAGCATTGATAATCAATACAAATTTTACATCTTTCATATTTGTGTCATATTTTTTAAACAATCTAATCAGAGCATTCCAGTTGATGTGTCAAATCTATACCAGTTTTTTTTTTTTTTTACCAAGTGGTGAAACTGTCCAGTTTCCTCATTAATTTTTGTTATGAAAACAATCAGTGCTGGCACGATATATCATTAAATGGATGTATCACGATTCACCTTGTCCTGAATCATGTATTGAATCGCAAGATGCTGAATCGATTATTTATTCACAATTCTTTTTTATGTTTTTTGTCACTCTAGTAAATAACCTGTCACTCTTAATTATCCACACCACACATTAGCCATAGGTACACAAACACTCTTAAATTGTTTTGGTCCTTACTTTGATCCACATCAATATCGTGATATAAAACAGTTTTATTTCTATGACATATGCAGGACTAAAAATGTCAATTATTCATTTATCCTGTTGTTTTCTTGGTAAAAATTGACCTAGTTATGAATCGTGATGCAAATCGTATCGTAGCCCCTGAAACGTAATGCATATCGTATCTTGACTGCAGTGGCACTAAAAACAGTGCACAAATGGTTACCGGTAAACAAATTTAGTAAGTGTATGATGGAATTGTATTCCCTGACAAAAATGATCTGAATTATTTAAAGCTAGACTAAAAGTCAAATATAAACTATTCAAAAAAAGTAGGGGATATTTGATTTTGGGGGCATAATACTAAAATATGCAAATGACTACGAAAAAAGTCACTATAGAACCTAACAGAAGAAACATTTCCAGTTACATGTGACGCCCAAACGCACCAATAGCTACCGCATGGAATGCAGGTGATGCTTGGGATCATCATGGGGGTCCAACCCAAGATTTGCACGACTCTGACTTTGAATGTTACAGTCATTGTGGCATTGAATTCCAGGGTGGAAACATCAGTTTAATTGTTTTAGTGACCAGAAAACAAATTTTGATATGCGTCGGCTTACCCAAAATGAAAGGTTACGTGCCCTTGGCATGCTACAGATCGGCACAACACAGGCGGTTGTGGCGCAGACGATGAATGTTTCTCAGTCTGTCATAAGCAGGCTATGGTCCAGATACCGTGATACACAATCTGTACAGGACAGACCACGCTCAGGTCGACCAAGGGCGACAACTCAAGCCCAGGATCGATTTATCCGTACCTTGGCCTTGAGAAATCGTGTCATCACAGCAAATCAGATCAGCGCTCGTCTTCAAACAGACACTGGTGTGAGAGTGAGTGGCCAGACGATTCGGAATCGACTGCATAGGGGTCACCTTCGCGCCCGACGTCCTCGCGTGATCCCTTGTTTGAGAGATCATCACATTCAGGCAAGACGTCGTTGGTGTAGGGATCGTCAACACTGGGATAATCGACGCTGGAGCAATGTGATGTTTTCAGATGAGTCAAGGTTCACTGTTGATTTTTGGGACAGACGTAGGAGGGTGTGGCGTCGTCGAAACGAGCGCTTCCAAGACGTTAACGTCATCAGACATGATCGATTTGGGGGTGGTTCTGTTATGGTGTGGGGAGGCATCACTGTTGCTGGAAGAACGGCTTTACATGTTGTTGCAGGGCGTGTTACAGGCCAGTACTACCGGGACAACATCTTGGCAGTCCATGTTGTGCCGTTCACACGACGTCATGGCCGCCGTTTCATCTTCCAGGATGACAACGCAAGATGTCACAGGGCCAGGATCGTTAGAGGTTACCTCCAACAACAGAACATCACCACATTACCTTGGCCAGCACTGAGTCCCGACCTCTCCCCCATCGAGCATGTCTGGGACATGCTTGGACAGAGGTTACGTCAACGTCAACAACGTCCTGCCAATGTCCAAGAACTTGCTGCTGCGTTGCAACAGGAATGGGACAATCTGGACCAAAATGACCTTAGACGTCTCATTAGGAGTATGCCACGTCAAATCAATGCTTGTTTGGCAAACAGAGGAGGATTTACCCGTTACTGACTTGGTTGTGATGCTGTGGTAACTTTGCTGTTTGACCCCGGGTATCATTTTACCCTTATAATGGTCAGTCTGTGCCTTACTTAGTCTAACGATCATTTGGAATAAATCGATGAATGTGAACTTCATTTCATTTTGTCATTTGTTTCTTCGTCAGTTTCATTAGGTGACTTTAATAACACTTAAAAATCAAATATCCCCTACTTTTTTTGAATAGTATATAAAGATTAAAGATTAGTTCAAGACAAGAACTAAATTTGCCTATTGTGTGTCTTTCTTTAGGCCTTAAATGTTATATAAATTATTAATTATTAACATGACAAGACCATAATCAATCGGATGCTCTATATTTTAACTAGATTAGAACATTTCGGCTATTAATGATTTATTTTAAAAATGGAAAAGCAAGGCTAAGCCTTGAATATACCAGTACCGTGATTACAATAATGAACAATCAATGCATACATCTTGTCAAAAATACAAAAAGTGATTACTTGGCTCAGAATAAAGTAATTTGAATGAAGTTTTCAATGTATTCATTTTGTATTATCTATTTTTGAACTATTATAGCGCAATCCACAACAATAAGAACAATAAGGTAATGTATTATTATTAATTATTATTTGTTTGTTGTATTTCAGATGATGTCACCAAACACTGACAGTGGAACACCTAAACAACCAGATCAGCCACCATTTTTTCCCAGCGGGGCCATTTCTAAAAATCCTCCAAGGCTTGAAATTGATACCAGTTCTGTGGACTTAGATAAGTCTTATGACAGCATCTCACCAAGGGAGTTAATCCGCATACCAGCACATGATTTGTCAGTAACCAAAGAGAAGTCTGGAAGTAAAGAGAAAACCGAAAAAGAAAAACAAAATGTCAAACCTAAAGATTCTTCTGGGGGACAAATCAATAAAAATATTCATGATAAGATTACAAAGAAAAAATCAAGAGAGAAACTGGTTGAGCAATATCAAGTCACAGACACCCAGACATTTCTTCAGTCCCTTCCACCAGTGAAAAATGTTGATCTCGCAGAATTCCAGTCCCCTGAAAAAATCAGTGATGACATTGTACAGAATGCACCACAGAGAGAGGATTCAGGAATAGGACTGGATAAACCTTATACCTCAACCCCAAATGGGAAAGAATCATCTAAAACAGAATTTGTTCTCCCACCGTTAGGGCCACTTTTTACCAATATTCCAAAACCCTCTTTTACTTTCACTAAAATGCCAAGACCAGCACCTCATATTTCTACAGATGAAAACAGTAAGGTTATTCGAAATCAGTTAGATACTGTTTTACGTGATAAAGCAAGGCTTGAAGGTCAGCTTGAAGTTCTCACACAGGAATCCAACACAAACCTGCAGGAAAGAGCAGAACTTCAAGCACAATTAGCATCCCTGAAACTCAAACTGTTGTCCAAGATCAAACCTGAAAACGATGATAAAAAAGCAGCTTTGAAGGCAGATTTGGAGATGTTAAGACAGTCTAGACAACAACTAGAAGATTCCATGGCAGAAACTCAAAGACAATTAGATGAAAAAGCACAAGAATCAAAAATTTTACAAACAGAACTACAGGTCACTCAAGATGCTATGGATAAGCTTCATATAAGAATGAAAGAATTACGAGACACCTTGTCTGCCAAGGAAATGACAATACAAGCTTTAAAAAATAAGATTGCTGAACTTTATGTTGAGGTGCAGAATACTCTACAGGCAAAATCTGAAGCTGATGCTGATGCTGAAATTTCAAAAAGTGATCTCACTGCACTGATTAATGCAAAAGAATGGTACCAGCAACAATTGCAACTAGCTCATGAGGTTAGGTGTAGCTTGCAAAAAGAACTGACAATAATACAAGCACAAAGTGTTTCACAGTGTTCGATAGTTGAAAGGTTAAAAATGGACAACACAAAACTCAGACAGCAATTAACTGAATCTCAACAAAGAGCTTTAAAAGAAAAGGAATTGTTAGCAAAGCATTTAGAAGCGATTCAAACTGACATGATGGACAGGGAAGCAGCTTTTAGAGAAATGCAAGGAGAAAAGAATCTGATTGAAGACTCATTTAATTCACAATGTAAAACTGTGGAAGATGAACACAGTCGATTAGCCTATTTGATGCAAGCTACTGTTGACCTAGAATCTCAATTAGAAAGAGCCCAAGGAGATGCAAAGAAAAAACAAATACACATCTTAAATCTTGAAAATAAACAGATTGATTTGGAGAAAAAGTTAACCCTGTCCCAAGAAAAGATAAATGAAAAAGATGGTCTTGTTGAGGAACTAAACCAAAAGATGATTGAAGTGGAAACCCAATTAAAAGCTTTTCAAAATGGTATATTTGCAAAAGATACAGAGATTTTGAAATTAAAGGAAGAGAAGGCAACAGCAGAAATAGCACTAAATGGAGCTTTGAAAGAAAAGGCAGCAGTTGATAATGCTCTTGATGTTCTGAAGTCAAACTTGGGAAAAGTTCAGACAAGCTTTAAACAAATGAGACAAGATCTAAGTAAAAAGGTTAATGAATTGGAGACTGTGAAAACAGAGAAGAATGAATATCATGTTGAACTAGAAAAAGCAAAAAAGGAATTAGAGATTAAAAGAAGGAGCTATGATACAATCCATCAAGACTATGATGTTAAAGCATCGGCGTTAAATGAAATCCAAGTCCAAAAGTCCATGTTGGAATCACAGATACAAGAATTGAAGAAGCAAATATCAGATATTGTAGAAACTGGGGAGAGAAGAAGTGCTGATCAGAAAGCTAAAGAAGTTCAGTTGCAGGAAGAGTTACAGGAAACTAAATCAAGGCTGGTGGTGGTGCAACAACAGTTACAAGAGGAACTCAACAGAAAAGAGGACGCTCACCTTGTGCAGCACATTGATACCAAAAGCGTTCAAGAAGAAGCTTTGATCACCTCTAATGATATGCAAGATAAAGAAGTCCAAGTAGCTGAAGAAAAGCCTCAAAACGCAGCAAATATAGAAGTCTTAGCACAAGAACAGCAAACAGATCTGACCCATACACGTGTGACTGAAATGGAAGAGGCTACAACAAATACTAATGTTCAAGAAATATCTGTGAACACTGTAAAAATTGAACAGAAAGATGTTGATATGCAAACCGTAGATGTAAGGGAGTCAAAACCAGATCAGATTGAATCATCTGTTAATACAGAGACTGTTCAACTTGTAGACAGTAAAATTCAAACAACAAATGAACCTAATGTAGTGTGTGAGGATGTGTCTGTAAATACTGATTTGTTGCAGCAAAAACATATCCAGAGTCAAACCACAGAATTAGAAAAATGTCCGTCTGTGGATTGTTCAGTACAAGCAACTGTTGAAATGTCTGTATCTGAAGTAAATGGTGCAGAGAATAATTTGTTGACGGAAACATTTACACAAACAATTGAAAGCACATATTCAGATTTTGAACCTAAGCCAACTCTGGAACATGTATCTGTTAACACTGAAGCACCAGAACTAAAAGACATCCAAAGTCAGACTACAGAAGTTAAAAAACAACTATCTGTAGATTCTTCTGTGCAAACATCCATTGAAGCAACTTCTTCCAGTAGTGATACCTTAGAAAAGCCACCAGCAACTGAGGCCTTTACACAGACCCTTGAAGAAACCAAGAAAGAAGAAACAGTCGTTGAAGATGTATCAGTTAATACTGAGATGATAAAACAAATAGATAATCAAAGTCAAACTACACACATACATGTAGAAAAACAAGCTTCAGTAGAATCCTCAGTACAGACTTCAGTGACTGGTAGTGATGGTGTTATCGAGCTATCTTCCTGTGAGTTTTCTACCCAATCTACTGATGAATCTGCTGGTGATTTAAAAATACCAAAGATAATTTCAACAGACACATCGATGAACACTGACAAAATGGAACAAAAAGATATCTACAGTCAAACAATCGTGGTTGAATCTGCTGACTCCTCAATTCAAACATCAAATGAAACTGCTGCTTCTGAATTAGATGTTATTAAAAGACATCCAAACACTGAAACTGCTACACAAACCGTACAAATTCAAGTAGAGCCACAAACCAAAATCATTTGTGAAGATGCATCCATCAATACAGAAAGATTGGTCCAGACAGATATGGAGAGCCAAACTTCAACTATACAAAAATGTTTGACTGTGGAAGCATCTGCACAAACATTTGTTTCAAATGCAGATAGTGCTACCACTGAAAAGCAACAGTCAACTGAGTCTTTCACCCAAACTAGCATTGAGAATAAGCCTGATGTCAAAACAGTTTCCCAAAAGACACAAGAAACAGCAACTTTTATAGATACAACTGAAGCTGCAAACCAGACTGATATTCCTGATGTTGTCATGGATGTGCAGTTAAAAGATTCTTCAGTTACTGAATTATCTGATAAAACTGATGGTGGCTCTATTTACAATCAACTTTCTAGTCAGCTACCAAAGGTTGATCAAAGAACTAGTTCTTTATCTGTACAGCAGAGTACAGTGGATCTTACTGTGGAGCAAAGACTTCAGGGTGTCAATGAGCAGAAAACTTTTATTATTGAAGGTGTTTCTAATGATAAATATGAAGAACTTTTGACTCAAAATGCTAATCTAAACTCAAAAATGGTGAATCTTGAAGATAACCTGGCATTCCATCGTACAGAAGCTAAGGAGATCATTTCTAAACTTAATGATAATCTTTTAGCAGTTCAGAATGAACTTACTGACCGTCAGACAACTTTTAATGAAAATGTTGAAGCTTTAAGTACAAAATTACACGAAACTTTGGCTGAGAAACAACAACTTGAAAGAGAACTTGTGGAGACACAGGAGAAATATAAACAAAGTACAACAGAAAACCAACAAAAGTTCAGAAATCAAATTCTGGTCAGTATTATTTATTAGATAATATAATCTATATGCATAATTTTTGTTTTTGCATAATGTTTGAACTGAACAAAAACTAAGAAAACCCAAAAGTATTGTTGATTTCTCCATTGAAAAAGTATTTATAAAAATTGTTTGGGAAGTTTACTCGTAGGTTGCAAAAGTCAGTGATATAGATACTGTGGATATTTTATGTTAGGATGTCTATTTGCTTGATAGTATTGTATAAACACAATACTGTAATTGGTCTAAATCACCCATTTATTAATAGAAGGGCCAATATGGTCAAATTGTAGGGTACTTGCCTCTCAACTAGAATGTCCTGGGTTTGGATCCTGGCACGGCCCCGGTTCTCATGTGTCAATGGTGGTGCATGCGGGCTGACAAGAAAAGTGGGTCTAGTTGTTCAGATGGGATGAAATACAGTAGTTAAACTGTGTATACATTAGCGAGCACATAAAAGAACCCTTGACAGTTGAAATTTAATGAAAAGTAGACAAAAAAACTGCTGTCCAGGCATAATTTCCATAACTCACACGGGGGATCACGTGACTAAGTGGGTAAGACACTGGCTCGCTAGCCTGGAGGTCGGGTGTTCGATCCCTTCTTTGGCCGAGAAAGTTCATCCAGATTTTCCGGCGTGATTCTCCCTTGTCAGTGATGCAGGACAGAGGGCCTGACAAGAACGGCTGTCTAGTCCTTAGGATGAGACAAAAAACGAGGTCTCGTGTATACATTGAAATGCACGTAAAAGATCCCTTGGCAGTTGGAATTCGATATAAGAGTAGACGATAGCACACTGTATGGCGTATGCCCGTCTTCATTAGCCCAGCATAGGAGCAGAACAGTAGGACGTTAAACCCCATTTCATTTCATTTCATAATTCACACACACTTTAATAACGTCATCCCCACCCAACCATTGTACATTTAACCACTGAGATAAAAATAATACCATATGTTAGTCTCAAAATGACCAAAGTATTGTTTTGATGAGACGTAAAGTCCATTCAATTACTCATACAAATGAGCGCCTTTCTTACTATTAGTCCATAGAAAGTGAATTAAATGCTGCACAAGTGAAAATAAAAGAATTAGAGAATTACCTACTGGCTTTACAAGAATCTAAAAATGCTGAAATAATAGAACTACAACAACAATTAGCTACAGTTGTAGAAGAATTAGATCTGTCTAAACAAGAACAGACAGAAGCTATAAAAACTGAAGAACTAAATAAACAGTTGGCTTTAGATTTAGAAAAAGAAAGAGGAAGATTAGAAGGTTTGTATTGTGGGTGAAACAGATTTAATCATTACATGTTATTGATTAATATTTCAATGAAACATGATAATTATGAAATCTATATACATGTACCAAACATCCTCGTTTATAAAGTATAATCATACAATTAATAATCGATATTGAAATCCAAGGTTGCATTTTAGAAAAGAATTTTACCACTTTGTATAAATGATGCTGTCAAAGATGAAATTCTTTTTATTTTTTAATTATGTCTAATAAAAAAAATTGAGGGAAAATCTGTTGAACTAAAGTGCTGTTCTATGATAATAACAATTATATAGATAAATATATTATAATGTAATAATGATATAATCACAGAGGCTTGTTCCCTGCATTCGTTTATTTTATACGCCCACATTTTCATGTGGACGTATTATGCCGTCGCCCCTGTCCGTTCAGACGTCCTGACGTCTGTCTGTCTGTCTGTCCGTCTGTCCGTCCGTCCGTCCACAATTTGTTTGTGGACACTCTACAGGTCACAATTCTTATCCGATTTTAACAAAACTTGAAATATAGGTGTATCTCCAAAAGATCTCGGCTGCTTTCGATATTGGCATGTATCGGATCGAAACTTCATGGATTATGGCCCCTGTTTGTACGAAAAACCACGTTTTTGGCTTGTGGACCCTATAGAGGTCACAATTTTTATCCGATTATGTTGAATCTTGAAATGTAAGTTTATAACCCAAAGATCTCGGTTCCTTTCGATATTCGCGCACATCGAACCGTAACTTCCGGAATTATGGCCCCTGATTGTACGAAAAATCTTGTTTTTAGCTTGTGGACCCTATAGAGGTCATAATTTTTATCCGATTTAAAAAAACGTATAATTATATAACCGTTACACCATAAGGACGACTGAGTTCGAATTTCCTGAAAATCGGCCTAAAATTGACAGACAAAATGGCCGCCGTTCGTTCTCAAATAGCGTAAAAATTTGGTATATCAAGGTTGTGGACCCTATAGAGGTCACAATTTTTATCCGATTTTGTTGAAACTTGAAATGTAAGTTTATAACCCAAAGATCTCAGTTCCTTTCGATATTCGCGCATATCGGACAGTAACTTCCTGAATTATGGCTCCTGATTGTACGAAAAATCGCGTTTTTAGCTTGTGGACCCTATAGAAGTCATAATTTTTATCCGATTTAAAAAAAACGTTCAATTATATCACCGTTACACCCTAAGGATGGCTGAGTTCGAATTTCGTGGAAATTGGCCCGAAATTGACAGACAAAATGGCCGCCGTTCGTTCTCAAATAGCGTAAAAATATGGTATATCAATGTTGTGGACACTATAGAGGTCACAATTTTTATCCGATTTTGTTGAAACTTGAAATCTAAGTTGATAACACAAAGATCTCGGTTCCTTTCGATATTCGCGCATATCGGACCGTAACTTCCTGAATTATGGCCCCTGATTGTACCAAAAATCGTGTTTTTAGCTTGTGGACCCTATAGAGGTCATAATTTTTATCCGATTTAAAAAACCGTTCTAATATATCTTCGTTACACCCTAAGGAAGGCTGAGTTCGAATTTCGTGAAAATCGGCCCGAAATTGACAGACAAAATGGCCGCCGTTCGTACTCAAATAGCGTAAAAATATGGTATATCAAGGTTGTGGACCCTATAGAGGTCACAATTTTTATCCGATTTTTTTGAAACTTGAAATGTAAGTTTATAACCCAAAGATCTCGGTTCCTTTCGATCTTCGCGCATATCGGACTGTAACTTCCTGAATTATGGCCCCTGATTGTACGAAAAATCGCATTTTTAGCTTGTGGACCCTATAGAGGTCATAATTTTTATCCGATTTAAAAAAACGTATTATTATATCACCGTTACACCCTAAGGAGGGTTGAGTTCGTATTTCGTGAAAATCGGCCCAAAATTGACAGACAAAATGGCCGCCGTTCGTTCTCAAATAGCGTAAAGATATGGTATATCAAGGTTGTGGACCCTATAGAGGTCACAATTTTTATCCGATTTTGTTGAAACTTGAAATGTAAGTTTATAACACAAAGATCTCAGTTCCTTTTGATATTCGCGCATATTGAATTGTAATTTCCTGAATTATGGCCCTTGATAGTAGGAAAAATCACTTTCTTGTTAGCTTGTTCTCTTTCCATCTCTCGAAAATGTGGGCGTATCATGCCTGGCAGCCGCTGGTTATCCGATTTTGTTGAAACTTGAAATGTAAGTTTATAACACAAAGATCTCAGTTCCTTTCGACATTCCCGCATATCGGACCATAACTTCCTGAATTTAGCTTGTGGATCCTATAGAGGTCACAATTTTTATCCAATTTAAAAAAACGTATTATTATATCACCGTTACACCCTAAGGACGGCTAAGTTCGAATTTCGTGAAAATCGGCCCAAAACTGACAGACAAAATGGCCGCCCGTCGTTCTCAAATAGCTTAAAAATATGGTATATCAAGGTTGTGGACCCTATAGAGGTCACAATTTTTATCCGATTTTGTTGAAACTTGAAATGTAAGTTTATAACCCAAAGATTTCGGTTCCTTTCGATATTTGCGCATATCAAATTTTAATTTCCTGAATTATGGCCCTTGATTGTAGGAAAAATCACTTTCTTTTTAGCTTGTTCTCTATCCATCTCTCGAAAATGTGGGCGTATTCTGCCTGGCAGCTGCTGGTTTTACATATTTTTACATTTGTTCATTACTAGTATCACTTGTCAACATTTTGGTTTTAGTTCAAGAGCTCCAGAAAACTGACAAATCCCAAATAATTTCAAAAAATAATTATTAAAGCATACTTGTGTGAAACATTGGATTCTTCAGATTTTACAGCTGTGTTGAAGAATGATCCTTTTTGGTGGTTATAGCAATCTCTGTTTCATAATTCCTGGTTTGGTGTTTTAATATTAGTCCAGAATTACCCTCTGATAACATTGCTACTTGGCTTTTTTCAAAACATTAAAAGGGTCCTATTTTAGGTAACTTTTGAACAATAAATTTTCTGTAAAGATCTATAACCAAAGCAATTGATAAGCCCAGACTATTTTCCAATTCTTATTCAGGGTAAATAAACATATTGGTAAATGAACATATTGTTTTGAAAAATAAATTTAAAAAACCATTTTAGCTGTGCTTTAAAATTCTTTCATATTATGAACATTAATTTTGGGGGTATTCTCCTCATAAAATGTTGAAGAATAGAATGAGATTTTAGACAATTAAATTGCTCTTTCTAAGGGAAACTACTCTAGACAGTAATTGGCAGCCATGTCAAGATTGGCAAAAGTGATGATAAGCTTACTCAGAAGTATGACAGTAAATTTGTTTGATAGACACACAAGATTCCATTCTCTGAACTTTTAGTAATTTTGACTTGATTCTAGAAGTTATATTTTGACTTTATTATTTATAAATAATCATTATTTTGTTGTTGGCAGCCATGTCAAGATTGGCAAAAGTGATGATAAGCTTACTCAGAAGTATGACAGTAAATTTGTTTGATAGACACACAAGATTCCATTCTCTGAACTTTTAATAATTTTGACATGATTCTAGAAGTTATATTTTGACTTTATTATTTATAAATAATCATTCTTTTGTTGTTTTAGCATGTATTGTTTATAAATAATCATTGTTTGTAGTCTTAGCACTTATTGTTTATAAACAATCATTGTTTGTAGTCTCAGCACTTATTGTTTATAGATAATCATTTTTTGTAGTCTAAGCACATTTTATTTATAAATAATCATTGTTTGTAGTCTTCTAAGCAACCCAGGCACATGGAAGATTTTAGACTTATAAATAATCATTGTTTGTAGTCTTCTAAGCAAACCAGGCACATGGAAGATTTTAGACTTTGAGTTTGAGACATTCAAAATAGTTTGAAATTGTCTATATAGGTCAATGGCTGTATCTGTACTCAAGTGTAGTTTTCATATTATCTTCAAATGTCCTGTATTTGAGAAAGGGATGATGAAAAAATACTTATGCAGTTACTGGTCTTTTCAATTTGGCATAATCATGGCCTTTATGATTATTGAGAACCCTTGTTGAGAAGTTTATATGTTTTAATACATGACTAGGTAGAGTTTATTGATTGTTTTACAGGATTAATACAGAACAATACATCTTTAAAACAACATGTTGGTCAGTTGGAAGAGGCACTGGCTAGACGAGAATCTAGTCTTGTTGAATTACAGGCTCATCTCTTAGATTCTAATAAAGACAAAGACATGTCAACTGAAGATTACCTTAAAAGAGTACAAACTCTAGAAATGAGCCTCCAAAAAGAGAAGAACAGTCAAAGAGACCTTAGAAAACAGGTAGATTACAATCAATTTAAAATGACACATTGATTTAAAGACGAATGAATGAAATTTCTACACAAAAATACTGTGAGACAAGGGACATGAATTTAATGTCGATGTAAATCTGTATATATTGAAATTAAAGCGAGAATTTCATATTTTCTAAGAAAGTCAAAACATAATTATTTCTATGTCTTTTGCTCAATATGTTATCAATTCACTATTATTTGATCATGGGCATTATTTCCCACCCTTAAAAATCATTGACACAGGAAATAATAACACAATTACCTCCCTTGTTTTCCTATTACCTCCATCGAATAGCTATGTTCAAACATTTGAATTTGAAGCTGAAAATGATATTTTTGCCAATTTCTCAGCTGGCAATAGTGAATTATAGGATTAATAGGATTATTCTTTAACAAAGTAGGACTGTTTATGGATACCATCTATTTTAAGGCTTTATTTTAATAAATTTTAAAAATATAACTTAAAAATATGAAATTGTAGCTTTAATGTGACCCATCAAACTTGTGTTTTTTTCTTAGGTGATGGCCTCATTGACTTTTTGTGAGTTTAACAAACAAGTGACACATCATTGTGAAATAATGTCATCATTTTTTTTATAAACAGCATTGATTAATTTACCATCTAATTAATCAGTGTTGGTTGTTTTGAAGTTGTTTTCATTTTATTGTACCCTGCCTTACGAAGAAGTGGGAAACCTCAGCCTTACTGTTTTAAAGGTTGTTAAGTTTTAAGTTTTATGAACCACTGTTTCTTAGAACAGAAATGGGTATAGAAATTGAGGCAATTGGTAATAGGTTGCACATTGTGTGTTGATTTTTTGTTACATACATGTAGTATTAAAAAGCATCATGAAGTATCCAAACATGCACCTACTTATAAAATGTAATACATACAGCACATCAGTGTTGTGTATTGCCTTTTTGCATTATAACCCCTTTTTTTATGTCAAGGCGAATGTATCCAATTTACCTGATCAGAAATACAAATTTGGTTTTGAATTAAATTTACAAAAAAATTTATTTTCCCAGATTGGGGTGAAAATTACTGAAAATAAAAAACTTAAAAAACACCAAGAAGAATTTAAACGAGAACAAGAATTACTGAAACAGCAGGTGGAGCTTCATGAACAGGAAGTAGAGAAATTACAGACAGAGCTAGATAACAATAGAGACTCCTCAGTTGCCCACAAAGCGGAAGTCCAGTCTCTTCAGTCAGAGAAGAAGAGTCTTCAGCTAGAATTAGAACACATACAGAGAGAGTTAGCAGATAATTTAGCTAGAAATCCATTAATACATGAACAAATGGAGGTTTGTCGGATATTTAATTGAGTTGCTAAAGATTATTCTGTTTAGAAAAAAATTTGTCAAGGGACTTTTGGAGCTAGAAATATTCTGCATGCTTTGCATGGAATATTAAGTGAATTTGTTTAGAGGTTGTAAAGGATTCTACAAGAGGTGTGATTTCAATCTGTCATATAAGCTTAATATAAACAGTTTATAGTTTTCCATTATTATTATTATTACAGAGTTTAGAATGGCAGATTAGTCAGAAGAATAAGGAAGTAGAATTTGCACATGAACAGGTGAAATCAGTTGAAAAAAGACAACAAACAGAAATTGATCTTCTACGACAAACTATAAAAGTAAGATTGTTTATTATCACAGGGGGTCACGGTGGCTTAGTGGGTAAGACGCTGGCTCGCTAGCCTGGAGGTCGAGTGTTCGATCCCTGCATTGACCGAGAAAGTTTATCCAGATTTTCCGGCGTGGTTCTCCCTTGTCAGTGATGCAGGACGGAGGGCCTGACAAGAACGTACAGCTGTCTAATCGTTCGGATGGGAAAAAAAAAAACTGAGGTTCCGTGTACACATTGGCGTGCACATAAAAGATCCCTTGACAGTTGGAATTCGATATAAGAGAAGGCCGTAGTGCCGCTGTCCAGGCAAAATTTCCCTCGTAGCACACTGTATGGCGTATGCCGTCTTCATTAGCCGTGTTCGGAGCAGAACAGTAGGACGTTTAACGCCACTTCATTTCATTTCATTGTTATCACAGTATGATACTGTATATTTATTCTTCATTGCATCACAACAAATTCTTAACAGATCTGTTAATAAGTGTAGCCTGTATTGCGAATTTCACAAGGTTATCAGAAATGGGGCATAAATCTGGAGCCGAAAGTCAATGTTTCCCACAAAATGTGGATAGAAAAGAAGTAGCCTCAATCGTGTACTCAAGTCAATAGTTGACCAACAGCCAGAACAAAATGACGACATATTACGCCAACATCAAGGCCGCTCTTTCTGTCTATTTGTTACCCGTTTTTCTATTTTTACATAACAGATGATGCCAAGATGGGCTGAGGCTTGGTTGGATATTTTTTGCATATATATTTTTTTTTAAATATTGGTTGATATTAGTTATACTAACTTTCAGATTATATGTTTTATTTTTTAATCAACAGGACAAACAGTTAGAAATAGAAGAATTACAAAAAGAACTTTCAAGTGCCAAAAAAGAGAAAACTGACCAAAAGTCACGGGTGACTGAACTACGCAGTGCCTTAAAGTCTTCAGTTCAGTATCACAAGGTATATAATAGTCTCCAATCAAAACTTCATGCTTCTGTGACATTTTTCTGAAAAAAATTATTAAAATATTCACATTTAAAAAAAAGTAGTGTACAATCAGAATGGTTAACATTTATTTGGTCCATCCTGTATATCGTTAAATTAAACACCCCTCAAAACAATAAGATAATCCACAGTGATTACTTAGATGGTAGGTCAGTTAATACTTGGTATTGCTATAATTTAAATGTCACTCACTTCTGGTCTCATTAACTTTCAAGCATATAATTCACTATTGTGAGTTGAGAAATTAGCAAATATATCATTTTCAAGTTGAAACGCTAACTCCGAACTTCGCCAATTACATGGAGTGTATAGAAAACTTGGTGGGGGGGGGGATGGCTGAATGGTTAGCGTGTGTGCGCTGTATCATAAAGTCTGTCATTGAGTCAATGAACGTGGTTTTGATTCCCCGGATGTAAGTGACAAGGAGTAGGGTCGTCTGTCCAACCTCGTGGGTTTTCTCTCGGTTCTCCGGTTTGCTCCCACGGCTAAAGACCCCTATGCGCAAGCGAATTATTGAAATAAAATTAAACCATATGTTAGTCCCAAAATGACCTAGTTTGTATCGGGTGGATATTAAACCCAATTTCTAAAAATGAAAACTAGAGGGTAATTTTGCTATTATTTCAGTATTATTATTTTAAGTGCTAGAATGCTTATTATGATTGTTGGTAGTGATTTGATAACCTATATCGCTTTAATCTCCACTCCATTCCTTTCCCATTCTGAACATCTGAGACACTCTACCTGCTGAGAAGTATTTCAGACACAGTCAATAGCCATGATATCCATATCACGTGATCTACACATCACAGGTCATGACATTGACGTCAACAGGTCATGAGGTCAACAACACGTTACATTGTAAACAATAGATTTATCTTCAGCATTGTTTCCTTTGCACTCATAAAGACTATATAATTCGTCCAGTCCCAACATGTTCTCTCTTCTTCCAATGATTTTTCACAAAAATAACATCTACAACTCATAGAATTGACGTCTTCTTCAATGACAGCGTCTGCGAATAGTTGTATAGAGGCTGCCATATCTTGGCACTATTTTGTGCGTCGGTCGTGTCTATTTCGGATATACACAATCAATTCTGTTGATGTTTTTAGCGTTGGGATTGACTAATAGTTAATTTGTTTCAGTTCTAAAACAAATATTTTAAACTTTAACGCAAATTTAGAAAATAGCCAAATTCTGGCTGGGATTACTGAGCAAAATGGCCATTCACTGTATACGTGCGAAAAAAAAGCTAGCCACCAATTAATTTTCGTACATTAGTTACGTATGTTCCTTTCCTGGTTTTAAGCTATTTTTACATTTTGAATTAAACTTATTAAAATGTCTTCTATTAATGTAGTTAACCAAAAAGTTGAATTCCAAAAAAGATAAATTGAAAAGCATTGACTCAGGTATGGAAGAAAAGGATGACAATGAGTGTATAGAAGAATGTAAAGAAAATGGTTTAATGTTAGATAAAGGAATACAGGTTAATGTAGAAGATACTATGGTATTACCTGAACCTAATTATGATTTTGATGCTATAGAAACATTACTAGAACAGACAGCAATACGGACGTTAGAAAGCAGGTAAGTGTTATCATCTTTAAATAAAGTCCTGATAAAATTGACTTGTGTTCATTTTGAATCAGAATAATCGTAGGTACATATTGCTGATGATATTTAACCTAATTCCCTTTCCATACCGTAAAACAGTCTGGTACTGTGAATAAACGAGGTAGCTGAAAATCAATGAAAAACATGGGTTATGCAATTAATGCAATTAAGAGTGAATTTTGATTCTTACAAAACAGTAACTAGTTTATTTGATAAAACACTGTAAGGGATCGTTACAATATGTCGGATTACACAGAGTGTTGGAATACTCAGTTCAGTTGTCTCAAAACCGGAAGTATTATTGTAATTTCGAAAACCGGAAGTATTATTATAATGTAGCTTCGAATCCCCAGGTACGTGACAAGGAGTAGGGTCGCCTTCCAACCTCGTGGGTTTTCTCCGGGTCCTCCGGTTTCCTCCAACTGCTAAAGACCCCTGCACAAGCGAATTATTGAAATAAAATTAAACCATATGTTAGTCCCGAAATGACTTAGTTTGTGTCGAGTGGAGGTTAAACCTCATTTCTCTCTTTGGTGTCGCGTGTTCATTGATAATCTGTCGTTCTATCTCCAGGTCGTCGTCACACGGTTCGGATAGATCCATAGGGTGAACAAACTTAGATATTCAGGTTCAATCTGCATGCGCAACGAATATTTCCAACAGGTGCTAGGAATATTTCTATGACTGAATAATTCGTGGGAAAATTCGTGGGTATTCTTTAGTATTTGTCACAACTGTCTTACAAAAGATTATAAAATTATCAAAGTAATCAACAAAGACCTACGCGAGCGAGTTTTAATCTCACCGATAATTGATTGGTAATTCTTGTTAATCTTTTGTGGCTTCACACCCGCCGATTGAAGGCCTGATTATACAGTGTTGATTCAATGGAAATCATGTGACGGGACGGCTGATTGATGTCGTAATTCAGAATATTTAGAGTACAGATTACTCAAAGATTTTTTGGCTGAAATAATAAGGAAATAAATCGGGACATGAAAATGATGTTGGATTTCACACAGTTCCGGAGTATTCAGAGGTCGGATGTATTACTATTTCCTTTTTCTCTTGTTATGCCTTGATCATTTTCTCTTGTCCTTTATCATTTTCTGTTGTTATACATGTACCTTTATCTTTTTTCTCTTGTTATGTATGTACCTTTATATTTTTATTTCAGGCCATTAGACAATCTTCAGTCATGTTTAATATCATTAAAATCTCAGATCAATGGTTTACAGATGTCAATGGAAGTACATACAACTAATATACATAGTTCTAATCAAACAGCCAGGTTAGTAGACAGTTATAATAATAATAATATATCAACATTTATAAAGCATGTAAACAGAATAATCCAAAAATTTCTAATGCGCTGCTGGTTCCAGACTTATCGCTAATTATTTCTTTCCCCTTGTCAGTGATGCAGGACGAGGGCCTGACAAGGACAGCTGTTTAGTCGTTTGGATGGGACGAAAAACCGAGGTCCCGTGTACATATTGGCGTGCACGTAAAAGATCCCTTGGCAGTTGGAATTCGATATAAGAGTATGGCGTATGCCCGTCTTCATTAGCCCAGTTTAGGTGCAGAACAGTAGTACGTTAAAGCCCATTTCATTTCATTTCATTTCTTTCACAAGGGATTTCATATTCCTGAAGTAATTGCCCTAGAAATCCCTCTCTAGCCATTGCTGTATTGAGATTAATCTATATCATCCAGAAAAATATTCTACGAATATTAGTCTGGATGTGTTGTCAACATTTGAGAATAATAGGTCATTGGCTAGATTATCCGGTCTTTTACATATCATAAACAAAATCTAAGCGAGGTAAGTAGTCCTAAAACAAGATTTTGACGCCCATGGAATTAATATAAGAATGCCATTTCAGAAAACTCATTTGGTTGCATTGCCAGTTCAATATCCATAATTTTTTTTATTGTAAAATTTCTCTCTTCATGGACCATACCTAAGTTTTTTAAATTAATCCTAATTCGTCACCATGATTCATGTTTGTTACATTAATGCAAGAATTATGGGATTTATTGCGAAAATGGTGCAACTCTTACTTGACTTCGCCAAAGAAACTTGATAATTGACTACATTAAAAACCAAACTCACGGTTACGCATGGGCAATGGAGCTTTTCATCAAATATTGACAACAGTCCCAGACCCACCATACGTTGAAGACTAGGAGGTTCTGGGTGACCGAGACTATATTGAGACTGACGACTTGAGTCTTTTGACAAGAGTGTGTCCATTCTCATCGTCCTATCCAATCTCTCCTGAGTAAAATGTAGGGAATTTACATGACTTAACCAGGGTGACCTCTTTAAAATAGAATTCTAGTGTTTTTAAGTGCTGATTTCACGTAAAAATTTACCCTTGGATGCATTGGGAAGGAACGATGATACTCGCATAGGTAATTTGTCCGTCGCTTAAACTTGCTATTTGAACGAAAATTCTTTGACACAAATCTCCGATATAAATTCTATAAACATGTACCAATAATTATTTGATATTTATCCATTTTTGTGAAGAAATTCTATAATTTTTTTATTTTATCAAAATAGTACATGTCGTATTTCTGTCCAGTTTTTTTTAAACACAATACATAACATGACAACCCTTCTCTTTGATCTGCTGTGTGTCCAAGAGATTCCACGTGCACGGTGATTACCAAATGTTTACATTGGAGCTATTTTGGATAGCCTTATTTATCACATAATTAGATTCTCTGCAATATTCTGTTATGTACTAGTTCATAGAGCGTAGTACATTTCACACGTTCTGACCTAATGTAGGTGCGTTTGTCACCAGACACTTTACGGTAATATTTTTAGAGCTCTGGTTAATCCTAACTGATTTTGTTACGTCGTTATGTACTGGTTGTTGATCGGCCTATTAACCAGTCATAATTTTGGACTCATAACACACTTTATGGCATATGCCGATCTTCCATTAGCTTATTTATTTCATGCAGAAGAGTAGGATGTTGAACCCCATTTCATTTCATTTCCGGGGGAGGGGGGATGGCCGAATGGTTAGCGTGTGCACACTGTATCATGAGTCAACTGGCGTGGTTTCGATTCCCTGGTTGTATGTGACAAGGAGTAGGGTCGCCTGTCCAACCTCAGGGGTTTTCTCTGGGTCCTCCGGTTTGCTCCTACTGCTAAAGACCCCTACATGCAAGCAAATATTGAAATAAAATTGAACCATATGTTAGTCCCGAAATGACCTAGTTTGTGTCGAGTGGACGTTAAACACCATTTCTCTCTTCTCATTTCATTTCCAAAAATATGTTAACAACTGACTGTATCATACCTACCAAGTGTGAATAAACAACTAATTTGGCCGTCACCCAGGTTGATTTCTGGGTGCATAACAACTGTAACACTATCTTAGTGGTAACAGAAATCAGTTTCGTAAATATATGGTTTATTTACATCGGAACAGAATATAGCACAACTACATCAATACTCCAAAAACTAGACTATACAGGAACTAGACTACATCGGGAACTAGACTGCAACAGGAACACATATAACTATATCAAATCCACAATTCTGCCTCTCTGCCAAGGCAGCGGCTGAGTCCATACGCCGGTTTGTACGTAATATGAATGTATACAGATCATGTGCAGCCCGTAAATGACTTATTGAATTAATTACATGTTTAATTACAACACAATCATGACTTAAGAAAAGTGCATACAGAGTTGAAAGGTAAATATTATATATATTATCAAAACAGCTGGAGGTCAACAAGTTCAATTTGATAAAAGTTATAGAGTACTTTGTTACACAACAGCAGAAGACTGACTATCTTAAAGAAGCTAAATTGCTAATATTTGGGACCTAGAAATTGACACTAATTTCAAATCAGTTATATTCAGCAAAATACGCCAGAAGTCTCAACCGAATGGCGATCTCTAGTGTCTGGTTATTCCAGGCTACATAGTATTGCACATGCTCTCCAGATAAGAATGCCGGCACTGTTTGACATGACTTGTGGAATATGTCTAGCCTCGTTCTTCGAGTCCCTTGTTAGAAATGGGACTGAAATGCATTATGGTACATGATTCGTGTACCACTGGTAAAATATTTATTTTCACTTAAATATTGGACATTGGAAGACATTCTTTTCCCGGGAAGATCACAACATCAATGTTGATTTAAATTGACAAATAATTTGTGTTTTCGATGTCGAAGACTTTGGACGATATTGAGTTAGAGACTTAGCTACTTTAACCTTACTGTATTATTATTTCAGTGATATAGAAAAAGAGGTACATGAACTACAGCAAGTTGTTAAAACTGTTGCTAATACAACATTCGCTTCCTTAACAACAGAGACGGCTTCCATATCAACAGAAGGTGCACAAGAGGAATAATTTCATGGGGAAATATGGGATTAAATGTTTATTTGTAGGGGAAGTTTCATGTATTCCCAGATTCTTAAAAACGGGAATATTTACATTTAGAAATTTAGACAAGTGGCAGTAAAGTATTGGGTATGATGGGAATCTAAGTTTCGATTCCCTTTGTTAATGTTTGCCAAGATAAAACAATTATGGACTCCATTTATTATTTAATCAGCCATCATAAAAGTTGCTGTATCATTTATTTCATTGTATCTAGCATTATTGCTTTGTTATAATTATGCAAACTTTACTAGTCTAATTATTAATCGCATGAATATTAATGCTAACAAAGATATCGATCGCTATTGCATTGTTCCTGCTATTTTATAAAAATCACACAAAGTAACATTCCTCATTTTAGAAATATGTCAAAATATTTATTTAAAAATTGCTATTATTGGTCTTTTGTATGTGCAATGTTTTCTAGAGTCATCTATTTTTTTTTTTTTTTAAAAACCTGTTTATATACGGACAGTATTTTATTGTTACCTTATTACAGCTTATATGTTTCCAATCGGATACCTTTAATATATGTTGAGAGAATGATTTAAATAAATAAATGTATACAAGTATAAACAAATATTTGTCCTTATAATTGTCATTTAATCCTATCAGATGACAAAAATTTTACCTGTCAAAAATATAAGTTTGAATCCCATGTAAAAAAGATGTTGAATTTTATTGCTATTAGTTTAAAAGAGTATATGAAATTATCTATACTTTATGATATAACATAAATTGAACTACTGTAATTTTTCAAAAATTGGATCTTTTATAATAATTTGTTGTACATACAGGTAGTATGTTGATTAGTTTGAGCATAATTAGGAAAATACAGGTAATATTTTTAAATAGGTAAATCAAGTTATGAATATGTAAGGTTGTATCACACTGTGCTCTTTTTATTTGTAAATAATTTTTTGGCTACTAAATTTTTTCTGAAAAGAATGAAAGCTGTCAACAGTAGTAGAATTACACGAATGTTCATTTAATCTGCCTTATGAAATTTATGTAATCTGCCTTTATTGTTACATCTACACAATTATTTTTGTTGAGGTCAATGTGATAATTATAAATACTTCTGTCACAATTTCTAGTAAAATCAAATTAGAGTTTATTATTTAATTTTATTTGAACTTTTTTTTTCTATAAAATTTATGCAAAAACACATCTAGACAAGAGTTTTGTAAAGGACTGTGTTGTGGAAAATTTAGTTTAGTTAATTAAGCACCTTTACCTCATACAAAAGTGGACATGATTATGTTTGTAGTATTCTGGCTTGATTGTTAAAGATGTCCCCTAGAGCATAATTCGGTCATCTTTTCGACCCTCTTTACTAATTTTTATCTGAAAGCATGATATATGTATTGGCCATGAAAAATCAAATCATAACCTCATAAGCTAACAATAAATTAAATGAGTTTATTATTAAAGAGCATGCTTATGCATCCTCTTAAAAATTTACTACTTATGTTGTTAAAATGTGTCAATTATCTAAAAAGAAAAACTAGACTTCTTTAGGTAACTTAAAAACTTAAAAGATGTTATAGTAAAGTGTTTGGTAACAAATATATTTTGTTTGTAATACCTGTATGGGCTGTATGTATGAAACTATATGATATAAATCTAAATTTTGTAAAATATGGAATTTGTATGGATCTCATATCACTTATTTATTTTATCTTTATTTCTCTGTACTTATATGGAAGAATAGAGTTTATATTCATATAACTAAGAGTTCAATGATTTCATCTTTTATTTAAATAATGTCATATAAAATAAAATAGGTTATTATTGGTGTGAGGGGCTTTAGCATGTAATATATGTAAATTAAACAATATATAATATGGGGTTTATCAAGTCTTATAATATTGGGAGAGCACCATGATAGTATTTTCAACTCACCATAGGGCAATGAATATAATTAGTACACAGATTAAATTATTTTACAATTTTAACTGCAACTTGTAGATCTATCTGAAACTACTGTCCCATCCACTGGGATTATTAAATTTGAGTTTGCTACTAAGTACAATACTGATTTTCCATCATTTCTATGGTGTGTGGGGTGGGGTTGGATTGGATGGCTGAATGGTTAGCGTGTGTGCGTTGCATCATAAGGTCTATCATTGAGTCAACTGGCGTGGTTTCGATTCCCCGTTGTATATGACAAGGAGTAGGGTTGCCGTCCAACCTCGTTTTTTTCCAGGTCCTCCGGTTTTCTCCCACTGCTAAAGACCCCTACAAGCAAGCAAATTATTGAAATAAAATTGAACCATATGTTAGTCCCGAAATGACCTAGATTGTGTCAAGTGGACGTTAAAATCTCTCTTGTATGTTCCCTTCCTATTATTTAAAAATACATTATGGAGATTCGATAAAGAGCTGGCTGTTCTCACTATAATAGTTAAAACTAGATATTGTAAAGGAAATTTGCTGAAAATTTCAGTCAAATTGATCGACTCTGAACCGAGAATTTAGCGATTAAGTTTTGTGCCTAGCCTTGATCATCATTACTAAAGTCGGTTAGATAAAAAAAACAGTCTCGATTATCCATTTTTTGATTTAATCATGAGTGAGCGGTGGGCAGCAGATTGGATCCTAATCCAGCAAATATCACAGGCTAGCGATGACATCGGGAGTTGATTATGGTCTTGATAAGTTAATTAATGTCTAATTAATAATTTAGATAACATTTCAGGCCTAAAGAATGAGCGTTGGGCAGTAGATCAGATCCTAATCCAGCAAATATCACAGGCTAGCGATTATCAGGAGTTGATTATGGTCTTGATAAGTTAATTAATGTCTAATTAATAATTAAGATAACCTGCAATAGGCAGATTTAGGTCTTACATAATGTATGTTTAAAATAAGGTTTATATAAATAGAACAATCATACACAAAGTTATGGCTTAGTAAAATGAGTACAAACATGAAAATTCTAATGAAAAATCCCCATATTCACAAGAGGAAACTTTTGTGGGGTACACACATAGTTTAAATAATCTCTTTTATTTTGATATGTCAATTTTTACAGAAATAATTTAGTTTGATTTTTATTTTTAAACCATATTGCAGACTTTTTACTAGAAACTTTTTTCATGATGTGGAATCATCAAATGGTTGTTAAATTAAGACATTTAAAGTTAGAACCAGTTATTGACTGTGGAATATTTGATATAATGGTAGTATTAGTGTATTATACACATTTAGTGTAGAAGGTTTAATGTACGCATAATTATAGTATGTTTGTTATTTATTTTGTCAGGTTCTGTTTGTTTGTATTTAATCATATTTTGTTTACATGTACACAAATATGCATATTTTATCAGATGTAAATAAGCTTAATGGCCTAATTGACCTAACCCAGTTTTATCTAGAGTATCCCCCAGACTTACAGCATCACACAGACTACATTAAAAGTCTTAAAACCTACTGAAGGTATTATATGCAATAATAAAATTCTTTTCTTTAACCTGAAAAGTAGGTTGACTGCATCCATATCATAAATGTATAAACCAGTAAATAAATGATGTGATTCCAGAATCTGTAGCTGGTTTTAATACCTTAAATCCGAGCTCTAACCCTTAGTGATATAGTCACACGGGGAGGGGTGGACAAGTTCTAGAATCTAGCCAAATAAATAGAATTCACTATCTTTAGCAAATGTCTTCTCATATCACATTCTGGAGAGACAAATAAATAGAATTCACTATGTTGAATTTAAGATCTTAGACAAATGCCTTCTCATATCACATTCTGTCAAGAGACATTGGGTATTTCTTAGAATTGTCACATTGTAAATTAGCTCCAATTTATCTTCATTAGTGCTGATTTACCTTTTTTTTTTAACTAAGATTCATCCTTGTATTCATATGTCTCTGTTGTAATACTTTGTGATATAATATACTGTATCTATATACTATAAATATAAATTATTTTTACCTTTAAATAAAACTTTATATATATACCCTTTACTTTACTACACAACATATGTATATAATTTGTTGATTTTGAGGGAAATAAAATGAAAAATAAAATTAGAATGTCATTGTTTTAGGTCAGAAACCAGCGGCTGCCAGACAGGATACGCCCACATTTTGCAAGAGATGGATAGAGAACAAGCTAAAAACAAAAGCGATTTTCTGTACAATCAAGGGCAATAATCCAGAAAGTTATGGTCTGAAATCCGCAAATATCAAAAGGGACTGAGATCTTTGGGATATAAAGATATGTTTTAAGTTTCATTAAAATCAGATAAAAAATTGTGACCTCTAGAGGGTCCACAACCGTTGTATTAAGCATACTTTTACACAATTTGCGTACAAAGAGCGGCCATTTTGTTTGGCAGTTTTATTTCAATTTTCTAATTCAACCTTCATTATGGTGGAATGGTGATATATTTAAACGGTTTTTAAAATCGGAAAAAAAAAAATTGTTACCTCTAGAGAATCAGCAAGCTAAAAATGTGATTTTTTGAACAAGCAGGGGGCCATAATTCAGGACTATTTTTAGTCTTTCTCTCCCTTTTCCTTTTTACCCGTTTTGCATGGCGAATTTTGTGTAGAATCGAAGAAAAGAGTTTGAAAATAAATTTTCTGCCAGGTTTTGGTGTATATTCATGATTTTGAGGCGAAAGGATACAAAAGTTGAGAGGTGTAGAATCGAAGAAAAGGGTTTGAAAATACATTTTCTGCCAGGTTTTGGTGAATATTCATGATTTTGGGGCGGAAGGATACAAGAGTTGGGAGGTGTAGAATCGAAGAAAAGGGTTTGAAACTAAATTTTCTGCCAGGTTTTGGTGAATATTCATGATTTTGAGGCGGAACAAGAGTTGAGAGGTTGGTTAGGTTGAAATGAAGGGCCGAAAATTGCATGTTTAATTGTCTCTACTTCCAGCTTGTGTATCTTAAGTTTTTCATGAAGAACCTTGTACGTGCTTTTGGGCAAGAGGTTGCACCATCTGTGGTAGAAAGCATTCTACTCAACGAAAATTTGGGAAAAAGTTAGAGCCAGCCTAAGAGACGAGAATTAACTATAAAGTCAATGGGGAAACCATTAGTGATCTTTGCCATAAGCGCAAATATCGACAGGAACCAGGATCTATGGGTTATAAACATGCATTTCAAGTTTCATAAAAATCGGATCAAAATTGTGACCTCTAGAGGGTCCACAAGCTTGATTTATCACCCAATAATACATTCTACAGTAGATATCGCTTGTGTGATATATTTCATAATCTACTGCGATATCTCCTTACATGAATTTAATTGGTCAGTTGAAAAGTAACTACTTTTTTTTATTTTCAAAGAACAGTTCATTTCTTATTAAGAATAACTTTTTTTAAATTAAAAATGAACTATTGTTATTCAATTGACCTTGATGGAAACACTGGGTCAATATAAAGGACTTTGCAATGGTTGAATTGCTGTCAAAAAATGATGTATCACTACGCCGTAATGTTCAGTAAAAGTGAAATCTACAGCAAAGAATTATATTTATCTATTTGTGCATGTAAGAAGGGATATGGTGATAAATAAAATCTCCTACTCGTCTTTTTTGATATCAAAAAATATCAACATTCGTCGATAAAGTAAAAAAAAAACTCGGCAGAGCCTCGTTTTTTGTTACTTTATCAACTTAATTGTGTTGATATTTTTTGATATCAAAAAAGACTGGTAGGAGATTCTCTATATACCAGATGTTTACACTATTTGTGTACGAGGGGTCATAGGTATACGGGCTCAATAACTGTTTGGAGGGTAGCACTCGAAATGCCCGAAAAAATTCGGATTACCCCACCCCCACAAAAAAATAAATAAATAAAAATTGGAAACTTTGAAGACCGCAAACGCGTTTTCTACCATTCCAGCCCGTGAACTTCAAAGTGGTTTAACAAGCCTAACTGGCTGACTCTTATTCCAATTAACCAATCCAGCTGCCCCCATCCCCACACCCCTGGCTTGTACGCCTATATGAGGGGCGGCCATTCTGTCCGGCAGTTTTGGTCCAATTTTCACGAAATTAGAACTCGGCCAAAATTACGGTGTAACGCAGGGGCGGGTCCAGGAATTTTTGCAGGAGGGGGTTTGCCAGATTCCTGAGAAAATGTATCTCCCCCCCCCCCCTCGGCTTGAAATTTTTTGAGAAATAAATAGTCTCTACTGTCATTTTGGCGTATATACATACTCATTGAGCTTTTTAAACAGAGAAATCCAACATCCTGTTTGACGTCAATTTTTATTATGAATTAATACGATGACATTGTGATTCAATTTAATTATTGATGCAAAGCATTAATTTTGATATCACGTATATCATTATCTCGCGCTTTGAGTGCCCATCCTGTCGCACCATCTGACGATAAATATGACACTTTTCTCACAAAAAAAAGTTGTTTTACAAAAGGTTGTTATACAAAAAAAAATATTATGTAGCTGAGCAGGTAGTCAATGGATAAAACATACCTTGACTACCAATCACTCTGTGACTCGATAAACCGCTATATAATTCAATTCTGTGGCAAGGCGGGGGTGGGAGCGGGTAGTGGAGCCCAGTAGAGTCATTAGCAACTTGAGAAAATTTTGAGTTTTGAGCGAATTTTGCTCTAAAAATAGCCCAAGTTCAATTCCCCATTGGCAAGACCTATTGCAAATTTTCCATGTGAACCAAATATTTATCATTCTATAGCAAATAAACATTTGGGAGCTTCAGCTACCATGCTGAAAAACCTATCCAATAAAAAGCTTGAAAAATAGAACAATATCATTTCAACATAATTTATTTAACTTTGACATATTTTATTTTTGTACATTTTAAAAATCAACCTTTATATTACTTTCATTGAAATGTAATTTTACTATATACAAGATTGTGCTGAAAAGTTTTTGAATACCCTGATCGATTTTTTACAGAATACATTAATTGAACGGAACATCTTAACTCTACGCTGAGGGATATTGATCAACTTAAACATGTATTTTTGATCCACTAACATGCTGTAATCCTCCATTTCCAAGGCATTCTCGCGCTGTCTTAACCGGTCCACTGTATTTTGAAAAAAACAAAAAAAAACCATCTAGCCTGACTATGTGATGTAACGTTATCTAGTAAGATAGTCACGTGGATATACGCCCACACAGCAGCTATGTCTCATGAAAAAAAGATAGTAATAAACAACAGCTCATCCAAAAGTACAAATTGAATGTTGATCAAATTTGATCCTCAAGTAATCTAATTTCTATCGTGGAACAGAAAGTTCTAGAGTGCTGATAATCAACAAGGTTCATCCTATCCGATCCCAATGCTTCACACCAAATTTCAAAATCAATAGACCTGATCCTCTCAGTTTTATATAATGCTTCACAACAACTGTATATCCCTTATCACGTTCACAATGTTTTCGGAAAAGAGGGCATAATTCTGAAATAGAATTCGCGGGATAATTCACACCACTGTTTCGGAAAAAAGTGGGTGGCTCGGAACACTCAATATCGATAAAGTTTGATCTCTCATAGCAACAATCCGTCACACAAAATTGGAGAAAAAAAAATGTAGCTGCTATCGCGTTCACGGGGTTTTGGGAAAGGAGAATAACTCGGGAAAACGGCGGATAATGCTGAATATTGATAGTGTTCATCCGTATGCTTCACACCAAATTTGAAAAAAAAATACATATAGTAAAAACTGTATCCTCTATCGCGTTCTCAAGGTTTTGAGAAAGGGGGTAACTCCGGGAAAGGTCAGAGAACGATGGATCGTGATATCAGTCTCACATGGCCCGAACGCTTCACACCAAATTTGAAAAACAAAGGTTTTTCCTCTAATATGACCCAATATTTACTGTTACATGCTTATATCGCCTTTGTACATTAATTGTACATTAATTGTACATAAACTATAGATCGACAGAAGCGCCAAATGATTATAATCTTAGTTTTGAAGTTTCGCTGGTCACTAAAACCGGTGCAGCTAGATAAGATCGGCGCAGGAACCGAATAAAATCGATTACGGTAATAACTAAATCAGTGAATATGGGGTGAAGAATATGATTTCCACCAATTTATATATTACCATAAACCGATTACATCCTGTCCCTGGACCGATGTTATCCTGACTGGTCATTAATTTTAATGATATGCGGAAACTTAAAAGAAATTAACATTATAAATCCACGTTGTGTAGACCGACAAATATACTAAAGTTCTAAATGAATGACAACTAATTCCGCTCAGCAAGTTTTTAAAAAATCCAAATAAATTTAGAAAATCCAACAGATTAGAAGACTGCCGTGTTTTAAATGCCCCAAAAAACAATCCCACTGATAATAAAAATGTCTTTGAAAACTTTGACGGGCATCGCGATCACAAGTTTTAAAAGCCCAAATGTGAACGGAACAATAAAAAGTGTTCGTAATTTACGATCCGAAAATATTGAATTCCTTCTGAATTAATGAACAGCAGCTTTGAGAAATATTGTCGCATGGACGGGCGGACGGACGAAGAACAGTCCGACGGACAACTGCTGCAACTAACAATATACGTCCACATTAAATGTAGGTGTGTACAATCCGGGAAACAGGACAATTTGAATTTTGGAATTTTTGAACAGCTTTTATCTGTGCATCACCGTTTTTAACGAACTACGGTGGACCAGTTAAGACGGCGCTATTCTCTGTCTCTACCGTTTCACATCTTTTAAACCTCATCTAAATCATCCGTATCTTCGTATATAAGGGATGGGCAGCAACAAAAAACCAATCTATAAAGCTGGAATCTGAAAAACCGGCGTATTCGTTTCAGCAATGGTTTCTTTGTAATTGGAACTGGCCCTCCTGAAACAAGTAAAAACATTATTCAACTTTCATTTGAAACAGGATATTTCATTCTTAAAGGCACAACAAGGCAGATCCTTCACATAATTAATCTCTAAAGTAAACAAATACGTTGAGATGTACGAAATAGATAGAAGTATTATTACTATTATTTATTTAAGACACATAAAGATGGCGCAGTGGAATTGACTGAAT